GATTGTAAACCAGTTATTAGGCAATATGTTAATAAATGTTGGCAGTCACATTGGGATACTCAAACCAATAACAAGCTGTTCAATATTCAACCACTTATATGTCATAACAATATCAGTGTTGGTTGTCGTAGAGATGACGTTGTTTTAAGCCGATGCCGTATAGGACATTCACATTTTACTCATGCTTTCCTTTTAAAGGGAGAAGATGCTCCCCTGTGTATTCCTTGTCAAAGTCAAGTTACAATGCAACACATACTTTTAGACTGTGTGGATACTGATTTAATTCGTGCAACATATTTTAATATGTTTCTACTTTGAAACAACTTTTTACTCAAGTTCCTAGCCACACAATTATAGCATTTTTGAAAGAAATCCATCTTTATGACAAGATTTAGGTTTTAACCCCCATAGTCAGTTTTTTTCCATTTGTCTGTGATATATATGACTGATATTTTATGTGATCTTTGATATCATACTTTTATGGTTGTTCTTTATCAGTACATGTTTGACAGTTTAAATGGTTCTCGCCGTGAATAGCTGGAAAATTGCTGATGCGGCGTTAAACAATATTCATTCATTCATTCATTCCCAAAGGGAAGTCCACTCATGGGGGGGATGAAGGGGATATACTAATTATAACCTTAAGAGTGTCAAAACTAAAATTAATAGAAGAATACACCTACAAGGAACAGCTTCAGTAAAAATATTTGTCATAGGGTCATTGGTTTCGTCTGCAACATACATCATCTTGATAGCTCATTTGTTTTGTTTGACAAAGTATCACCTGTCCTACAGTGTTACTTAAAGAAACTAGTATCAAAGCATGATAAGACTATGAGAGAGGGGGGAAAGCAATTTAAACACCTACTTGTAACCTGGGAAAATGAATTCTATGATCTTAAAGTTGTTGTTTCTGAACACTGTTTGCCATCAATGTTTTCTATATTAGAAAAAAGAGAGAAACTTAAAACAGAGTATTTTCGCAAATATATATAAGTGATCAGAATGGCTTAAAGGCTGCAATCTAAAATTGTGTCTCTTAAAACAAGGGGACACGGGTGGTCCAGTCGTCTAAGGCGCCGCGATTCGCTGTGCAGAGTTGCGTCCCTTAGGAACGCCAGAAACCTATGATTGTGGGTTCGAATCACGGTTCGCTCCGGACCCGTGAAGATCCGGGGTAGAATAGGTCTTCAGCAACCCATGCTTGTCGTAAAAGGTGACTATGCTTGTCGTAAAAGGCGACTAACGGGATCGGATGGTCAGGCTCGCTGACTTTGTTGATGCATGTCATCGATCCCAATTGCGTGGATCGATGCTCATGATATTAATCACTGGATTGTCTGGTCCTGACTCGAATATTTACAGACCGCCGTCATATAGCTGGAATATTGCTGAGTGCGGCGTTAAACAACAATCCAACCAACCAACCAACGGTTCGCCCTAATTATGTATCTAGGTTTGTCAGCACCATACCCGTGCTCGTGGGTTTCACCGAAGTGGTAAACGTCTGAGACCTGCATCACTTCGGGCGTTCCTCCCACATTAAGCTGACACGCCGTGATAAAACTGGCCGGAATACTGTTAAAAGCGGTGTTAAACCCAACTCACTCACTTACTCACTCACTCTTAAAACCAAAATTCGAAAGTTGTCCACAAAGCCCCAAAATTTGGATGGGAAGAAGTATCGAATACTGAAAGTGTCGTCCAACAAAAACACTTTGTCCAGATCATAGCATTATAAACGAAAACACATGCTGGTAAAAGACTGTAAAAAACCTTGACTTTCATGAACATTTATGAACTAGAACCATTATCAGTACAGGCACAAAGGACAAAGTGTTTAGTTTCTAAAACTGAAAATGATGTAACCAGTTATAAGGAAAATATGGACACCAATTAAGAGAGACTTTTGCATGTCAAAGATACGCAAAATATTTCAAACAAAGTTATCAATGACAATACCGTTTTTACCAAGACACTCCAGATCCCAGCTTTGGTGTACAGCAATCCCTGAAAGATATATTAGGTACATGTGTTTCACACATTTTGACAACAGGGGCTAAAGAGAAGCTTCTTGAAAGTTAACATCTGCATGTTCAACTAACTGGTGATGGTACTGAACTTGGCAGGAGAAAAAAGACTTTGGGTTCACCATACTTGAGGAGGAAAACTGTCTATCTATTAATGGCAATTACTTACTAGCTGGATTTTCAGGAAAGAAACGTACCAGAATGTTTCAGATGCACTGACAGAAATCATTGATAAAGCCAGAGAATAAGACCATGTAGGTGTTCTTGGACAAATATTTCAGATGAATTTTTTTCTAGGTGGTGATCTTAAATTTCTGAACATGGTCTCAGGAATATCATTATGTGCTTGCAACTACGGTTGTGTGTGGTGTAAATGTCCATCAAAAGACCGATATGACACCACTATGCAGTGGTCAGTTAGTGATGTTTCTCAAGGAGCAAGATTTTGGTTTGGTGTTTTACGCCGCACTCAGCAATATTCCATCTATATGACGGCGGTCTGTAAATAATCGAGTCTGGACCAGACAATCCAATGATTTACATCATGAACATCCCCTCCACCGTGCTTGTTAAAGTAAAAACGGGGGGTAAAGTGGGTTGGATTTGCTCAAATTCGCACTACATTAAGTTCATTCATGAATGCATATGAATATTCATAGAATATTTCTTTACTCAATCAAATAGATCCCCCGAGGCGTTGAATTCAGTTGATTCAGCTGATTCATCGAACAGATTTGTTGATCCATCCAGACCTTTTTTGTTTTCTTTTTCTGGATCATGTGGACAGTACCACGGCTGATGAACTTAAGAAACCAAACCAAACATGTATGTTCATCCACTATTGTTTTTGTCTAACCTTTTTTTTAAACTTGGTTTGGCCACCGACTCCCCCAAAAATTGAAATGTAAAAAATAAACATAAATAAAAAGCATATTTTACCACAAACCAGAAATAAGTAAAACATTTTTTTAAGGTATTCATTCTCTGTCGCTATCAATATAAACGACCTATTTAAAATAATATAATTAAAACTGCTTAGTGCGGCGTTGAACAACAAACAAACAATAAAACTTGTTGAAAACTTAGAAACACGACCTGCCCAAACATGTTTTCTTCTCTTTGACCCTACCAAACATCAGTTTTTGCATCCAAACAAAGGTGGTTGTATATATATATATATATATATATATTGTAAATATAGATTTTTTCAATTCTTATATAGATGTAGTTCTTAAAATCAATGCTCCTTAAAAGAGAATTTTCGATTTGGGTGTGCAAATTAAATGTTCTGCACATCTGACGTACCATGCTGCTGGAAACAGTGAGTTCTTTAATTGATGCTGTCATGCTGTCATGCGGGGGGACACATTGAGTTTCCTGGCTACATAGCAGCTGTTTGCGATTCTACCGCTTCCAGTCGACCGAAGACATTGTTCCGAGGTGCATGACTTTGCAACCCAAGCTTGTCGTAAGAGATGGGATCGGGTGGTGGGGGTCGCTGACTAGGTTGATGCATGGCATCTTATCCCAATTGTGCAGATATCGTTCATAATGATTTGACCGTCAAACGACATATTAAGCAAACATTGGTTGGTTGGTTTGTTGTTTAACGCCGCACTCAGCAATATTTTAGCTATATGACGGCGGTCTGTAAATAATCGAGTCCGGACCAGACAATCCAGTAATTGATATCATGAGCATCGATCCACGCAATTGCGATCGATGACATGCATCAACCAAGTCAGCTAGCCTGACCACCCGATCCCGTTAGTCGCCTTTTACGACAAGCATAGTCACCTTTTACGGCAAGCATGGGTTGCTGAAGACCTATTCTACCCCTGAATCTTCACGTGTCAAATTTAGCAAACAAAACAGTATACCAACCAACAATAGCCTTATACCACGAAGAAGGAATCCAAATGAGATTTGGCGCGCTGACTTGGTTGATGCATCGCATCCCTATTGCGTAAATCAATGCTAATGATGTAAATCTCTGGACTGGCTGACTCTTAATTATTATAAGAGGCGATTAACGGGATCGGGTGGATTGACATCATAAGCATCGATCGACGCAATTGGGATCGATGACATGCATCAACCAAGTTAGCGAGGCTGACCACCCGATCCCGTTAATCGCCCCTTACGACAAGCAAAGTCGCCTTTTACGGCAAGCATGGGTTGCTGAAGACCTATTCTACCCCGGATCTGATGCATGTCATCGTATCCCAAATGTGTAGATCGAATACCAATCCCTGTGGGAAATTCTGGTTGAAATACGCTCCAGACTCGATAATTTAAAGGCCATTGAGTGTTGTTTTTCTGCGGTTTCAGCAATGATCCAGCATTATCTTGACAGGGGACACCAGAAATGGGTTTCCCTCATTGTTCCTATACGGGGAATCGAACCCGGGTCTTCGGGGTGACGAGCGAACGCTTTAACCACTAGGCTACCCCGCCGCCCACTGAGAGAGTGAGTTAAAATGTCGCATCGGTATTATTTCAGCCATATACCGACTTAAGGCCACTGTCACACAGCTTGAATATCTCATACAGCCTCACTATTGCAGAGTATTTCTACAAGCACAACAATAGTGCTACCACGCTGTAGTTGGTTGGTTTGTTAAAAAACAGTTTAACGCCGCACTTAGCAATATTACAGCTATATGACGGCGGTCTGTAAATAATCGAGTGATTGATATCATGAGCATCGATCCACGCAATTGAGATCGATGACATGCATCAACCAAGTCAGCGAGCCTGACCACCCGATCCCGTTAGTCGCCTTTTACGGCAAGCATGGGTTGCTGAAGACCTATTCTACCCCGGAATCTTCACGGGTGACGAGAAGTATATAATGGATGACTCACGTTTTGTTACATTTTCCAATATGCCTGCTGACAGTGGGATTGATCACATATGTCTGTCAATGCGGCATATTGATTCAGTTTGGCACAGCAAGACACAGGAAGGATGGGTATAGATTGGAGAATCCTGGTGTCTGTATTATTTTGGGCCTTACTCTTCAAGTTTTCGAGACCAGGTGAGAATAAGCAAGGGTAGACCACTGTTAGCATATCACCTTACTGTAACATGATTGTAACGTGGATTTATGAAAATATGTATGATATAGAGACATCACTGTTTCTCTGTGCCTGTTCTGTATGTGTAATAATCTGGTGCTCCTTTTAAGCTGATTGCTATTTCAGTACTGCAATTCAGTGACCCGAGACACTGGATGTCTTCGTTAATTTCGTATTGGCCATAGCAGGTATACACCTGGATATTTGTTGAAAGGTGAGGATCCTCCATTTTGTATCCCTTTTGATGAGAGAATCACTGTCAAGCATGTCCTGCTTGAATGTATTGATTTTGCCATCACAAGGGTTAACTATTTCAATGTTTCATTTTTCAAGGATCTTTTTAATCTTAGTTCTCATTTAATCATCGGTTTTTTAAAGGAAATTGAATTATTACATACATTTTGAATGATATATTCTGTATATAATCAGTGTTTTTTAAAATTGGTTGAATAAAATTAATAACTGAGATTGTAAGTGGCTGTATCATCAAAGGGGTTTGAAGTAGTGTAAAATTATTGTCCCCCTGTGAGATACCGGTATGTTAGACCACGTCTTTCAAAATATATTTATTTGTACCACACTTTTAATCGTAGCATATATGTTGTTTTAATGTTTGCTAACTTTATCAATAATCGCCAACAGCTGAAGGGATGATGTAAATCCGGCTGGGGTCCATGCAGGTAGCAAAAGTACTGTAAGTCCCCATGGACCCTAGCATGGTGATCTATCTTCAGTGGATGGCGATCAATAGCTCATTTTTATCTTGTATTGTTTAGTATGATGTTATATTTTTTATGGCTCTCTACTAGTTTTAAATATAATCTGTGATAAATCTAGTTATTTTACTGTCCATCGTTGACAGGTTTTTATTCAGTCTAAATATATGTATTATTAATGTACGTCTCGTCACGATATGGCTGAAATACTGCACGCAGCAATATTCCAGCTATATTACTATGATCGAGTCTGGACCAGACAATCCAGCTTGACAACATGAGCTTCGATCCACGCAATTTGGATACGATGACATGCGTTAAACAAGTCAGCGAGCCTGACCACCCGATCCGTTGGTCACTTACGACAAGCATAGTCGCCTTTTACGGCAAGCTTGGGTTGCCGATGACCTATTCTACCACGGATCTTCACGGGTCACGTAAAGCCGTAAAGGGTGGTCAGGCTCGCTGACTTGGTTGATGCATGTCATCGTATCCCAATTGCGTGGATCGATGCTCATGATATTCATCACTGGATTGTCTGGTCCAGACTCGATTATTTACAGACCGCCGTCATATAGCTGGAATATTGCGGAGTGCGGCGTTAAACAACAAACAAACAACCAACGTAAAGCCTAGGCGTCTGAGATTTAATCACAGAAACGGCCCAGCTCAAAACATGTGCCTGCGGGTTCACGATGGACGTTCCTATCATATGACGCTAACATGATAAGAACTGAAATATTGTTTCTTGCAGCGTTAAACTTCATTTAAGCTCGGTCGCTCAATAGACATCTTCCATCATTGGGAGACGCTTTGCGCTTTCCTCCCACATTAAGCACACCCTGCAATACGCCCCGTTGGTAAATGAAGGCAACCCTAGCAACGGAAGACACTGTCACCCACGTGACCGCCAAAGTTTCACTAGTGCTAAGTTTAAGCTGTCGAAACTTTATTTTTAGCGCAAAAAGGTTTATATTGCTTACTTATTTCGTTTAAGTAAGTATTGTTTAATATTTATTGAAGTTCTAAAAATGAATGTTTGCCTTTGTGTTACAATAAATTCAGCATAAGACGAAATCTTCACGTTTTCATCTGAATTTATTGTAACACAAAGACAATAAGACGAACTCTTCACGTTTTCATCTGGACCCATGAAGATTCCGGGGTAGAATAGGTCTTCAGCAACTCATACTTGCCGTAAAAGGTGACTATGCTTGTCGTAAAAGGCGACTAACGGGATCGGGTGGTCAGGCTCGCTGACTTAGTTGATGCATGTCATCGATCCGAATTGCGTGGATCGATGCTCATGATATTAATCACTGGATTGTCCGGTCCAGACTTGATTATTTACAGACCGCCGTCATATGGCTAGAATATTGCTGAATGCGGCGTTATAATAACAAACAAACAATATTTCACAAACTGTAGCCACAGACACCGAGTGACCTCAGATGTATGATATAGTACGTCTGACAAATCCTGATAGTTAGTATGAGCGCATGGGACAGTCTCGATTGAGAGGTCCGATCTGTGTATTCACTGGCTGCCAAGATATGGGAGCGCCAGAAGCCTATGGGTTTTTCATATGGCTGCCTTGCCGTGGGTTCGAATCACTGTTCGACATGATTAATTTTCAAGGTTTGTCAGCTCCACAACCGTACTCTTGGGTTACGCTTAGGTGGTTAACGACAGGCATCAATCAATTCGAGCTTTCCTTCCACATAAAGCTTTGACTCTCTGTGTTATCACTGAAACAAGCATGACATACTCATATCCCCCGCCAATATGACATATCCGGTTGTGTGCAATGCATGAGCTCCTGTGAACTATATTCACTGGACCTTTTAGTGAATGGGACCGCCTCCGTGGTCTAGTGGTAGAGCGTCCGCCCGGAGAGCGGAAGGTCCGGGGTTAGATCCCCGGCCGCGTCATACCAAAAGACGTTAAAAGATGGTACTTGTTGTTACCCTGTCTGGTGCTCGGCATTAAGGGGCTAAATAAGGACTGGTCGGCTCGGAGTCAGTATACTGTGTCTGAGTTGGGTATCCATGTTAAACTGCGGCATGGTATCTCAATGTGCTAGCACTATAAATCGGCATCAGTCTGGACAAGTACAAGCAGCCACACACACACGTGCATGCGCGTCGCTATATAAGTGCAATAATCTTGGACGCGACGTTAAACCCCATTTCACCTCACCTTTAAGTAAATGGCCTAATTGCAGCACTAAAAAAAGTTATTACTGGTGTTGTTTTGCCATCTACAGTTTGTGATAGAATATGTAACTGTATTTGTAATGAGTAAGGATGAGACATTTGGACGAACAACTTCTTTATTACAATTAGGAGCAATGGTTTCGGTGTAGGTTCTAACACCTTTATCAAGCGAGTGAAGTTCAGAATATAGTTGACAAGAATATATACAGGTTAGGAGGCAGTGTTTATACAGTTGAGTAGGTTTAAGATCAGTTACATTGTTGTATTTGTAATGAGTTGTGTTTCTGCATTAAGTTAGTCAGTGAATGCAACAACCGTGTCCATGACACTTTTGGAGGAACATACACACAAGCAATGAAGAACTTACCAACAAGAAAGGAAATGTATTCAATACTGTGAGATGACATAATGTGCCAAGTTTGGTGAAGAAATATGGTACGGTTTTCAAGATCTGCTCCGGAAACAAGGACTACCGCCATTTTCAGTCTAAGTCAAAGTCGTTGCCATGGAAACTCGAAAAATATTTGTTTTAAAAATCCCAAACTATCAAAAGGCACCAGTTCACCACTAGATCTATCTATGTGCCAAGTTTGGTGAAGAAATATGGTACGGTTTTCAAGATCTGCTCCGAAAACAAGGACTACCGCCATTTTCAGTCTAAATCCAAGTTGTTGCCATTGAAACTCGAAAAATATCGTTTTTAAAAATCCCAAACTATCAAAAGGCACCGGTTCACCACTAGACCTTTCTATGTGCCACGTTTGGTGAAGAAATATGGTATGGTTTTATAAGATCTGCTTCGGAAACGAGGACTACCGCCATTTTCAGTCTAAGTCAAAGTTGTTGCCATGGAAACTCGAAAAATATATTTTTTTAAAAATCCCAAACTATCAAAAGGCACCAGTTCACCACTAGACCTATCTATGAGCCAGGTTTGGTGAAGAAATATGGTACGGTTTTCAAGATCTGCTCCGGAAACGAGGACTACCGCCATTTTCAGTCTAAATCCAAGTTGTTGTCATGGAGACTCGAAAAATATATATTTGTAAAAAGCCCAAACTATCAAAAGGCACCTGTTCACCACTAGGCCTATCTATGTGCCAAGTGTGGTGAAGAAATACGGTACGGTTTTCAAGATCTGCTCCGGAAACGAAATGTGACGGACGGACGGAAGGACTGACAGACGGCACCCATTCCAATATCCCCCTTCCACTTCGTGGCGGGGGATAATAATGTTCAAACGGCCATTTTCAGTCCACTTTTATTTTAACAATCCGTAACGTTTGAGCATGAATTATTGTATATTTCAAAGGCTCTATTTGGCAATATAAAGGTTGTCATGTTAGATGTCTGAGAGAAAACGACTCCTGTTTGTTCGCCACTTCATCAAGCTTCAAGGTGTATTGAACCACAAGTATTGCATACAATCTCAGATGTTCTTTCATCCTATGAGATATTTTTACAACCTCATCTTGGTGTGTTTTAATCGGTAATCTATCTCTATGGACGAGGTAAACTTTAGACTACACATTTTAAATGCAAAGTAATCGATTCTGGTTTGATGAAATTGGTCATGGGCGTTTGGGCCGTGTGAGTAAATTACAAAGACTAAATCGTATGTCTATCGCCATGACTACTTTAAGCTCACCTGACTGAAAGATGACTGCAGGACTGAAGCGTATGTCATGGCCTGCCTGTCCGCCGTGAGTATTGAGACATATAGCTGAGTGGGACGCTACATAAAACACAATGTTTGTAGTGAGGCTCAATACGCGATATTTGCACTTTAACCATGCTCCTAAATTATCTCGCGACTAACGGGATCGGGTGGTCCCCGAGGTGAAGTAGCAGGGTTTGGCCGGAGTCAATGGTTCCACAGATGGGTTTTGGTCGAAAAGCACCAGAGAAATATGGTGGATTCTCTCGGCTACAATAAAACATGTAATACACTGTCATAACATGTGGACCCGTGAAGATTCCGGGATAGAATAGTCGCCTTTTACGACAAGCATAGCCGTCTTTTACGGCAAGCATGGGTTGCTGAAGACCAATTCTACCCCGGATCTTCACGACGGAATGCTCCGAGTTCGATTTTCCATTTGGACCCGTGAAGATTCCAGGGTAGAATAGGTCTTAAGCAACCCATGCTTGCCGTAAAAGGTGACTATGCTTGTCGTAAAAGGCGACTAACGGAATCGGGTGGTCATGCTCGCTGACTTGGTTGATGCATGTCATCGATCCCAATTGCGCGGATCGATGCTCATGATGTCAATCACTGGATTGTCTGGTCCAGACTCGATTATTTACAGACCGCCGTCATATAGCTGCAATATTGCTGAGTGCGGCGTTAAACAACAAACCAACCAACCAACCAACCAACCAATGTTTATTTGTTTGTGAACGCCGCAACCAGCAACTTAAGCAACCATGCAATGCTTGCCGTAAAAAGGCGACTGTGCTTGTCGTAAGACGCGACTGACGGGATCGGATGGTCAGGCTCGCTGACTAGGTTGATGCATGTCATGGTTTCCCAATTGCGTGGATCGATGCTTATGATGTCAATCACTGGATTGTCTGGTCCAGACTCTATGATTTCCAGACTCAGCTGTAATATTGCTGAGCGCGGCGTCAAACAACAACTGGGAAACACTGTAATCCCGATAGTTGCCTCTACGACAAGCATGAGTTGCTGGAGACCCATTCTAAACCTGATCTTGACGGGTCTCGCATGAGTGTAACGTGTGAAATCCCTTTTGGTGTATCTGAATACAGTAAAACTACGGTTATAACGAACTCAACGGGACCACTAACAGTAGTTCATTATAAGCATATATACAGCATAACTACAGCAAATAGTCGGGACAAAAAAGTAAGTTCGTTATATCCGTCAGTTCGTTATAAGCGTGTTCGTTTTAAACGTAGTCTACTGTATTACCAAAGAACCTACGCCTCAATTTCAGAAACTAATCTGGCCTTGACCAGGCCCTCCTCTGCAAGTTCCTCGTACTCCACCAATGGTGCACAGGCCGGAAATGATGGAAATACTGACGGATCATTTCCAAGCGGCAGCTGTTTTGCCTCTGCGGACCGGGACAGCGATCCCTGGTGGCAAGTTGATTTGCAGGCTACCTTCATGGTGAAGAGGATCGAAATCACAAACAGACAGGATTGTTGTGGTGAGTACACTAGGTTAGAGTATTTTTAAATGTTGTTGCTTTTCATACATTGTACATTAGCACAAACAACAACGTTAATGGGACATTATTTCCAAGAGTGAGTGAGTGAATATGGTTTTACTCAATATATTCCAGCAATATCACGGCAGGGGACACCACAAATGGGCTTCACACATTGTACCCATGTTTGGAATCGAACCCGGGTATTCGGCGTGACGAGCGAACGCTTTAACCACTAGGCTACCCGACCGCCCCTTATTTCCCAAAATAGGATGGATTAATTTACATTTAACAAGAGGGAATGATATAAAGGCCAAGACTGCATCCGTCGTCTAGTGGATAGAACCTCTGCACGGTTGCTTGGTTTGTTGTTTTACGCCGCACTCAGCAGTATTCCAGCTATATGACATCGGTCTGTAAATAATCGAGTCTGGACCAGACGATCCAGTGTTTAATATCATGAGCATCGATCCACGCAATTGGGATACGATGACATGCATCAACCAAATCAGCTAGCCTGACCACCTGATCCCGTTAGTCACCTCTTACCCACTGACATGTAACCAATTGGAGTGGTGGAGCATGCGCAGTCATGTAAAGGAGTTCCCTTTGCTTGCAAAATATGCTTAGTGCATTTTGTGTATTCCTGGGACTTCAGGCCCTAGTGAAAGGGGTTTTTTTCACAGGTGTAGTGTATTCTCCTTATAGTTGTTTACATCTTGTGTGATACAGTTTCCCGCAATATCCAAAGTAAACATTATCTCGTTACGTCATATGATGACGTCATTTATGGATGCGATGTCTGAGTAAACTATGGTGGCTTCCTTCCATGTTCTGTTGTGTTTGGCATGGCACACGAGCGTGCATACTCCCGAGTATAAATGTGTGAATACACGACAGTTTGGGCTATGATGGGATACCTAAGGGAGTATTTTGGAACTGTTTACTTAATGAGGTAATTCAGGAAAAGTGACAGAACGAACACATCAGCTACGGCTTTGCGCGATTGCGCGCCATGTGACATTCGTTCTTTCGGAAGGAAAATAGTGAAGCCAGTGATAATATTGGAACATATCACATTCCTAGGTTTGACAGTAACCTATTTCACGTTAAATGAACAGTGTCAGTGCTAATTAACACGACCCAAGTTTATCGAAGCGACAAACTGGGTTGACCCGAATTCTCCGGATTATAAAAGCGGAAGTGACAAGTCACGTGATCCAAGATGGCCGCGCCCATGGTAGGATCGACGAGCGAGTTTACCCCCGTCAAAGAAGACTGGGAAAGCTACCAGAAACGACTGGAAATATGGATGAAGGCTAACAAGTTCAAGACAGAAGATCGTGCAAACGTATTCTTGGCAGCTATCGGACCAAGTGCCTTTGAACTGTAAGTGTCTATGTTTTCGCCGACCGACATTGCCGATGCTCAGTACAACGCTCTTACTGAAGCATTGAAACGTTACTAAAAACCAGTACGCAATGTTGCAAGCTTTCACGAAACGGAAACAGAATCAATGGGAATCAGTACAAGAATATATTCTTGAACTTAAGAGACTTAGCAAACATTGCAACTTTGGCCAGACACTTAGTGAACGGTTGAGGGATCGTTTCGTAGGTGGTGTTCGGAGTGAAGCTGTACAGAGGAAGCTTTTAACACACAGAGAGTTGACATGGGAGAAAGCTTGTGATATTGCAATCTCAATGGAAATTGCAGGCAAGGATACTAGATCATTCCACACACAGGGATTAGCTGGTACTTCGACTGATGGTAAGATCAACAGGCTCAAGACCGGTAACAATGGGATCAAGCATGGGAAGAGAAACCCAGAAAGAAAGCCATGTTTTAGGTTTAATCTCACAAATCATGACCCAGACGACTGTTACTATAAGAATAAGAAGTGCAGTAAGTGCAAGAACTTGGGACATATAGAAAGAGCTGGTAGAAGTATAGGGGCAAAGAATCAGAGAACTGGCTATGGTAAGAATACTGGGAAGGCACACTTGGTAGAAGAAACTGCAGAGATGTCAGATTCAGATACAGGGGCTGAGAATTTGTATGCAATATTTTCTATGGATCACAATGAGAAATCTAATGACGGATTCAAGGTACCTCTAACCATAGAAGGAAAGGATGTTGCATTGTTCCTTGACACGGCTGCTTGTCATTCTATCATAGGAGAAGAGATGTACAAGAGACATTTCGATAAGATACCCTCATCTTCCACAAAAGGGACCTTTGACGATTACTCAGAAAAGGTAATACCATTACTTGGAGAAGCCAAGGTGACCGTGGTATACAAATGAGAAAGAATTCACCCTACCATTACTTGTTGCAAGGGGACGCAGGGCTCCTTTATTCGGAAGAAACTGGATGTCAGTCATGAAGTCAGACTGGGGAAAGTTATGTGCAGTAACTGAACAGTGTAGCTCACTGAAAGAAGAACTGAAAGCCAAGTACAGTTCAGTATTCCAAGGTAGAGGTATTATCAAGACCTTTAAAGCATATATCAAGGTTAAAGCAGATGCCAACCCGAAGTTCTTTAAAGCACGTCCTGCACCTTACGCCCTAAGGGAAGCAGTGGAAACAGAGCTTGACAGACTTGAATGGGAAGGAATCATTAGAAACGTTGAGAAATCTGATTGAGCGACGCCAGTGGTGGTAGTTCCGAAAGCAAATATGATGGTAAGACTATGTGGGGACTATAAGGTGACAGTCAATCCGGTACTGGAGGATAATGTGTACCCCCTGCCGACAGCAGAAGATTTATTCGCAAGGATGGGCGGAGCCAAAGTCTTCACGAAGTTGGACTTGTCAAATGCATACCTTCAGCTAGAGCTTACAGATCGGTCAAAACCACTACTAGTGATCAACACCCATAAAGGCCTCTACGAATATCAAAGACTTTCGTTTGGAATAGCCACTGCTCCTTCCATATTTCAGTCTATAATGGATCAGGTATTACAAGGCATACCTAGAGCTGAGTCATTGCAGGATGATGTATTAATAGGGACTGTGACAGATGACCAGCATGACACGGTGCTTCATGAAGTGCCGAAACGTCTTGATACCTATGGCATTAAAGTGAACTTAGACAAGTGCAAGTTCAAGGTACCCAGAGTGGAATATCTGGGACACTGCATCGATGGGGATGGACTACATCAACTTGAAGACAAGATAAATGCCATTGCTGAAGCTCCACATCCAGAAAACGTCACACAGCTAAGAGCTTTCTTGGGAATGATCAATTATTATGGCAGATTCTTGGGAAACATGTCCACGATTCTAGCACCCCTCTACTCACTCTTGAAGGCTGACACTCCTTGGAAATGGAATTCAGAACAAGAAGAAGCTTTCCAAAAGTGCAAGACTATGTTGTCTACTGAAAGTGTTCTTGTCCACTATGACTTGAACAAGCCATTAACTGTGGCATGTGATGCATCCGCATATGGTGTCAGCTGTGTGCTATCTCATGTGATGAATGATGGAACTGAAAGACCAGTTTCATTCGCCTCAATAATCCTCTCACCTAGTGAGAAAAAATATGGCCAAATAGAAAAATAAGCACTTGCGATCATATACGAAGTCAACAGGTTTCACAAGTACATCTATGGAAGGAAGTTTGTCTTAATCACTGACCACAAACCACTTACCACTCTGTTAGGTCCCAAGAATTGCATTCCTACACTGGCAGCAGCACGTCTACAACGATTGGCTCTCATTCTGATGGCACATGACTATGATATACGATATCGAAGATCAGAGGATTATGCTAACGCAGATGGACTCTCTAGACTTCCTGGAAGCGATGACCCAGAAACCATTGAAGCCAAGATCAACTGCTTCTAAAATGTGATCAACTTGCCTGTCTCAGCAACAGAAATAGCACAAGCAACTAGGAAAGATCCTGTATTGGCTCGTGTGATGGACTATACCATGCGTGATTGGCCAAATAATGTTGCAGACGAGGGACCTGCACCATTCTTCAGACGGAAAGATGAACTGTCTGTGGATCAAGATTGTTTGTTACGGGGACTCAGGGTTCTCATTCCAAAGAGCTATCAAGACTATGTGTTGAATGAACTACACAGTGAGCATATGGGCATCGTGATGATGAAGGCACGCGCTCGTAGCTATGTGTGGCACCAAGGTCTTGATCATGACATCGAAATGACAGTAAAAGTTGTACTGTATGCCAAAGTCTACAAATGACCCAGCAGTGGCTCCTCACCCTTGGAAGTATCCTCAGAGGATATTGGAAAGAGTGCATGTGGACTTTGCTGAATTTAAAAGTCAGCATTATTTTGTGCTGATTGATAGTCGTACGAAATGGATTGAAGCTATTCCCATGACCTCCACGACAGCTGAGAAGACTATAGAGACATTGAGAAATATATTTTCTTCATATGGCTTACCCGAAGAGTTAGTGTCGGATAATGGGCCGCAGTTCACAAATGAAATCTTCAAAGATTTTATGAAGAACAATGGAATCAAACATTCCCTCAGTCCACCCTACAACCCTTCATCAAACGGTGCAGCAGAAAGATCTGTTCAAGCTATTAAATCTGCTCTGAAGAAACACATGATGTCCGTCAAACTCGACAATGGAGACAGGTCAACAAAGAAACACTTGGCAAATTTCCTATTAACTTACAGGTCAACTCCTCATTCCGTAACTGGACGGACACCTGCTGAACTTTTTCTTTAAAGACAAGTTCGCACAAGACTTTAACTTTTGAAACCAGACCTGCGGAAAACTGCGGAAGCAGCTGAAGAAAAACAGAAGCAATTTCACGACAATTCCACCATACTCAGAGAATTTGAAGTGAATGAATCCCGCAGAGTTAGAAATTACAGAGAATCACAAGGTGAGAAATGGATTCCTGGAAGAGTAGTCAAACGCTTAGGTTAACAACGTTATCTTGTTCAAACTGGAGCAAGAACCAGATATGTGCATGTTAATCAGATGCTACCTTCAGTTTGACATGCAGATGAAGAACAGAGACTGTCATTACCAAATGCATTACCTTTGTTACCGGTAACAACTGGTAATACCATTCCTACAGAGGAGGAGACTACTCAACCCACGCTACAACCAGCGTTAAAGCCAGCCAGCAACCTTGAATCAAGGGAGAGAACTCTTGATAAACCTGTGACTTCAACAAATGGTGAACAGAGACGCTATCCACAGAGAACACGAAAACCAGGTCAAAGACTTGATCTTTGAACATTGTGACTTTAATGAGGACAGTTCATGCATCTAGCATGAATTGTCAGCTCAGCTGTTGTTCAAGCTCAGAATTTACAAGTTTTAAAGGTTGTGTTAATTCCAGTTATCAAAGTTATAATGAAATGGACTTTAATGTTGCTATTATTCAGAAGCCAAACATTACGTTGCCATGGCAACAAGTTGGATTTAAGTTTATATATAGGGTGGGTTCACTTGTGGAGTATAACAAATAAACTGTTAAATATTTCCTTGACAAACATTGCATGTCTATATATAAAATATATACTGAACTGGTGCCATTTGATATTAAGGAGTTTTAGAAATGTTTATTTTAGAATTTCCATTGCAGCTATTTTGACATGGGCTGAGAGAAATGATGGGTCAGTTACCTGGTTTGGGACCATAACGTGTTAAATTTCTAAGAGTCAAAATAGCGGTGAGATTTATAGGAATGGATCACTAAATATCAGCAAAAACCGTTTTAGTATACGGCACTATGGGGAATTTCGCGTTCTCGCTTTATCGCTCTATTACTTTATCGCTCTATTACTTTCTCGCTCTATCACTTTCTCGCTCTATCGCTCTATTACTTTCTCACTCTATCGCTCTATACTTTCTCGTTTTCTCTCATGACTAAGAATAGTCGTATGAAAGAATCGGATGTTTTTTAACTTCTTTTGAATAGTATGTACTGTAAATCTTGAGATACGGTAATTATAAATGCAAAAAATGAGAGTGGTTAATTAAACTTTGCACTTAAATCTCAGAAATGACCGTTGACGGCCTCACTGCACACTCTGAATAGCGGAAATACCAACTTGAATATAAAACCAAACAACTATCTATTTCCACATTACGGTTTATTGAGAACAATGTCATTCAAACACTAGAAGTTCCATAGTAGAAATCCGGTAGTGTTACCATTGCTGGCGTGAGGACTTCCAGTTTGATGACATCTACTCCTTAAACAGAAAAAAACATCGATATAAGTGTTATTTGTTTTGAAAACATTATTGTTTTTGAGGAAGTACACTACTCAGCGCTAATAAGCGGTGTTATTTGCTGTTTGTTTTGATAACTAGGCCTGGGGGCGGGGGATACCATAAAGCTCCTAAATAGGACCATAAACCAATCAATTACATTTTACGCAGAAATCCGTGGATTTTTATGAAATCACCTACGTCTGTACAGTTAAATTATTATAAGTAGATAGTGAGAAAAGTTCAACATTCACTCTATATGTATAATTGAAAAAATATTGTTTTCTGTATATACATTTGATTGTATAGAAACACGTAACACATGCGACCCCTATATTGGCCAAAAGGGAATATTGTTATACCGCGAAAAAACGATGTCCCCTCTCGGCCAAAAAGTAAGTGACTTACCCTGCAAGATCCGCTGGTTGAAGAGCCGGTGATCTTTGGTCTGTAATCACTGGCCTGCGGCACTTTGAGATTTTCTCCATTTTAAACTGGGGGCACGGGTGGCCCAGTCGTTTAAGGCGCCTTCATTTGCTGTGCGGAGTTGCGTCCCTTTTGGCACACAAGAAACCCGTGGTCGTTGGTTCGAATCGAAGTTCGCCCCAATTATATTTCTAGGTTTGGTAGCACCATACCCGTGATCGTAGGTTTCACCAAAGTGTTAAACGTCTAAGACCTGCATCACTTCGGGTTTTTCTCCGACTTAACGATTTCACGCAATGCTATAAATTGAAAACTGTTCAAAGCGGTGTTAAACCCTACTCACTCACTGACACGCCATGAAATAACTTCAAGTTGTTTAAACAAACGTTTAATCTCACTGTCTCACGTTTCAACATTCGTGATGATGTAGCGGGCATTTAATTCCCGAGTCCCGTGATGGGATTCGAACCACGGACCTTCTGATCAGAGGTCGGACGCCTTGTCCACATGACCAAAGAGGTTAACCCCGTCAGCAAGCTGACAAGGTAAGGATGTCATCTGTGGGATGACTCCACGCCCTGCTTCAATGATATTGTAATATGAGAATTTGGTTCACTGCGATCAAATAACAGTGAAGATTCGGAAGAATAGATATATGTGTACATTGATACATGAACATCATATTCAAGCGAGGTATTATACATACTATGTACTCAGCAATATTGACATTTGTAGTGAGTGAGTGAGTTAGGTTTTACGCCACTTTTAGCAATATTCCAGCAATATCACGGCGGGGGACACCAGAAATGGGCTTCACACATTGTACCCATGTCAGGATTCGAACCCGGGTCTTCGGCGTGACGAGCGAACGCTTTAACCACTAGGCTACCCGACCGCCACTGACATTTGTAATATGTAACTTTATAAGACAGCTCTCGGCCACTCAGCAATATTACAGCTATATGACGGCGGTCTGTAAATAATCGAGTCTGGACCAGACAATCCAGTGATTGACTTCATGAGCATCGATCCACGCAATTGGGATCGATGACATGCATCAACCAAGTCAGCGAGTCTGACCACCCGATCCCGTCAGTCGCGTCTTACGACAAGTACAGTCGCCTTTTACGACAAGCATAGTCACCTTTTACGGCAAGCATGGATTGCTGTAGACCTATTCTATCCCGGAATCTTCATGGGTCCACATGTTTTGACAGTGTATTACATCTTTTATTGTAGCTGAGAGAATCCACCATATTTCTCTGGTGCTTTTCGACCAAAACCCATCTGTGGAATCATTGACCCCCTCCAAACCCTGCTACTTCATCTTGGGGACGGACCCGGCGCCAACAGTGACCGTAACATGTACAAGGCCTGTGAATGGCCGATATCTCCGTCTCACCAAAACGCAACAGCTAAATATCTACGATTTGCTACAATTCTGCGAAGTGAAAGTGTACGGAGAGTTAACATATGACAATAGTTTGTGTAAGTCTCCCTTTTGATATTGTTTTCTTGATGTTGAACGCCGCAATCACCAATATTACAGCTATGTGACGGCGGTCTGTAAATAATCAAGTCTGGACCAGACAATCCTGTGATTGATATCATGCGCATCGACCGACACAATCGGTTGGTTTGTTGTTTTACGCCGCACTCGGCAATATTCCAGCTATATGAAGGCGGTCTGTAAATAATCGAGTCTGGACCAGACAATCCAGTGATTGACATCATGAGCATCGATCCACGCAATTGGGATCGATGACATGTATCAACCAAATCAGAGAGCCTGACCACCCGATTCCGTTAGTCGCCTTTTACGACAAGCATAGTCGCCTTTTACGGCAAGCATGGGTTGCTGAAGACCTATTCTACCCCGGATCTTCCCGGGTCCAACATAATCGGGATCGATGACATGCATCAACCAAGTCAGCGAGCCTGACCATAAGATCCCGCTAGTCGCCTTTTACGACAAGCATAGTCACCTTTTACGGCAAGCATGGGTTGCTGAAGACGATTATTTAAAGACCGCCGGCATGTACTAGTATGTAATGGACTCTTTTTACAAGGTCATTGCAATCGTATTAAAGTTTCACCCATGTATATGTTGATACATTTAACTTACAATATGTGTCATATAATGAGAATATTTTCACATCTGCATGAGGGGGGCGATTTTGTTTATAACCTGACATTGACAATATCCAGATAGGCCGATGAGAGATTCTTCATACTCATCAAATAGAACGATTAAAACTTACATGTTTTCATGTTTAACAATATCTTGTACAAGACTTATAAATGATGACAAGATTCAACCGAATTGTGTGGACATAATTAGACAATTACCTTGATGCCTGCCATTGAATGTGATATTCTCATATTCCAGGTACCTCATTTCAGCAAACGCGAGGAGCTCGCTACGATGCTGCCTCTATCCTGACTCAAGGACCAGAAGTGGACAGTTCGGCAGCCTGCGCCTCAACCTGTGAACGTGTTCGGGCCTGCACAGGCTTCAACATCCGGTACAAACCGGAAGTTACGTGCGAGCTAGTCCAGGATTCAAATCCGACTTCTCTTGATGTGGACGCTGCTTGGGACTTCTATTTGTACAAATCCTGCTGGAAACCTTGTGTCATTAGTTAGACTGGGAAGACTGAGGGAGGGGGCGTGGAGGCGCCTTGGATTTTGTATACCAGGTATTTTTTTAGGACTCATTGGCTTGTTATGTGTTTCGTGTTTGTTGTTTAACGCCGCACTCAGCCCGTAAGTAATCGAGACAAACCAGTGATTGATGTCATGAGCGACGATCCACGCCGTCGGGGTACGATGACGCGCAATGAACCAAGTCACCGAGCCTGACCCCCCGATCTGTTAAGTCGGTGAGACTTAAGACAAACATAACCAAGAATCCCAACAGGACAACCCAAAGGAGCTCACTATTTTTTATTAATTTGTTGAAATATGTGAACTGGCATTTTGCATAGTTGCTCGTGAAGTCAACCACACGTTTGCCTTGCACAACAGGCAATCACTCCTTAAGTACAACTTAATGTTTACCCAGTGGGTAATACCATAGTTATTGCCAATGTCAGGGACTGTCCATTTGATATTTTGGGGGATTTATTCTGGATATTAGATATGTTTTCAGTTACAGTTGCAAAACAAGATATTTTTTCATTAAAACTATGAGTCTAAAGAAAAACATCTTGCCCCAATGTCATTATTGTTTCAGACAAGTTCCTTTTTCGTAATCTGAAGCATAATTATTTTCTTCAAGAATTTGCAGGAACAAGTAATGTTTTTCGATAAAATCCAAGATACCCCCCGAGATTATCAAATGGTCGGCCCCTAACTATGCGGCGCTATAGCCAGGTGGATATAGCGTTTGCCCTTCCCGCCGAAGGCACCTGTTCAATTCCCCATACAATGTGTGTCCGCCGTTATATTGCTAAAAATATTGCTAAAAGCGGCGTTGAACCCAACTCTCTCCTTCACTCAATATGCCAATGCACCCGTGAAGATCCGGGGTAGAATAGGTCTTCAGCAACCCATGCTTGCCGTTACAGGCGACTATGCTTGTCGTGAGAGGCGACTAACCGGATCTGGTGGTCAGGCTTGCTGACTTGGTTGATGCATGATCGTATACCAATTGCGTGGATCGCTGCTCAGGATATCAATCACAGGACTGCCTGATCCAAACTCGATATATTTACAGACCGCCGTCATATAACTGGTATATTTCTGAGTGCGGCGTTAAACAAACAAACAAACAAACAAACAGTGCAATGTTCCATAGATTCCTTTATGAGCTAAATACTGATATCTTGGACTGATAAGTTTTTATCTCGTTTTTTGTCATACTTAAAATTGTACACTTTATTTGATGTCAAATGACAACCGAAAATGACTAAGAAGAAATACTTTTCTATAAATATTAATTTCCGGCCATCAAATCGGATGTACCAATCAGAAGACGTTATTGAGATATGACACCTCTGAATCGAATCTGTCCCAAATTCATGGTAGAATGGAAAATATCCACATTCGACAAGAACAGCACTGTTTGGTGTTTTTTATTTTTTTATTCACATCTGTTGTGCAGGCAAGTAAGTGTAACCTTTCTGACTTCCACATATTTCGCACCCATAACATTACATAGTACAATATCTTTTGTTTTTAATCATTTATTTCAACAATATTATTGTATCCTTCATTAGTAGAAAATATACCCGAGTCAGTATGCATGCATGCATATCTTTCGTCTGACGGTATCATACGCCTTTCGGAAATCTATCCACACACATTTTTCATATTACCCTATGTAAATATTTCTCGATAACTGCATAAAGCATTGAATATATCATCAAACATTCTCTGTTGTCCTTTCTGAAACCCGACTGTTATTCGAAGATTTTATCACACATCTCTATTCACATACGTAGTTATTTTCCTGACTATAGATGGTAAATTGGTTTTAAAAAATCTTCAGAATTGGCATTATTATGGACATTCAAAGGGCGACTCTTCAGCAGCTTCAAACCAATAATCAGAAAAGTAACCAAAACGAACGAGAATCTGTACTTTACTCAGAAAGTGTTATCCCAAATATAAGATTTGTTACATTTGACCACTTTCTAAACGGCAGTGTGTGTTCAAAGCAACCATTGCTAAATATTCTATGAAATGAGTGAGTGAGTGAGAGTATGGTTTTACGCAGCTTTTAGCAATATTCCAGCAATATCACGGCGGGTGACACCAGAAATGGACTTCACACATTGTACCCATGTCGGGAATCGAACCCGGGTCTTCGGCGTTACGAGCGAACGCTTTAACCACTAGGCTACCCGACCGCCCTCTATGAAAAATGTTTATAAAAGTGACTAAACCCTTTCCATAATCAAAAGAAATCTCTGCTAAAATAAGAGTCTATTGTAGTATTCCAACTTTATCAGCATGTCATTTTGAATTACTATCAACCACTTGCTCGCGAGAGGGTAAGCGCATCCTGCCCTACTGGTGGCACCCGTCACAAACACATGCATAGGCAGGTCAAACAACACGGGAACATAACCTCACCATGTCTAAGAAAGATTCACTGAGGCCCTGAATGCTGAAGACCGCCTCCGTGGTCTTGTGGTAGAGCGTCCGCCCGGAGAGCGGAAGGTCCAGGGTTCGATCCCGGGCCGCGTCATACAAAAAGACGTTACAAGATTGTACTTGTTGTTACCCTGTCTGGCGCTCGGCATTAAGGGGCTAAAACAAGGACTGGTCGGCTCGGAGTCAGTATACTGTGTCTGAGTGGGGTATTCATGTTAAACTGCGGCATGGTATCTCAGTGAGCTAGCACTATAAATCGGCATCAGTCCGGACTAGTACAAGCAGCCACACACACACATACACGTGCATGCACGTCGCTATATAAGTGCAATAATCTTGGACGCGACGTTAAACCCAATTTCACCTCACCTTCACCTGAATGCTGAAACACTGATCACAGGACTGTAGAGCGAGGGTCGTAGGACACTCTTCCAAATCTTTAATGGAGAAATCATGAATGAGAATCAGTTGATTCAAATTCCGGAATCAGAAGATTTGAGTGATTTCTCTGATTTAAACAATAGTTGCGTCAGATATACTTGTTTGATATTACCAGAATGGCCAGTGAATTCCTGACTGCAATAACAATAGCGTGACGTCATCATAATTGGTCTTTTTCTGAATTCTTATTTGGAAGGGACGTCCACTGAAAAGTCCCACAAAAGTTAAACTGGGTTGTTTTTATAAGAAAGTCATCATTGACGATACTTCACCACTATTGTTGACAACGGTATTACTTCTATAGAAACTGATAAGGTAGCGCCCATATGTAAATGTTAATATGTTATCCCTCTTTTAATTCCGTCTGGGTATATTGTATACGATCTTGAGAGTAAACAACAAACAAACAAACATTTTGTTGTTCATGCTGTTGCTGCAAGGACAAAACCGTATCGTGATGATCTGTATATTCATTGTATATTTGTTTTCCTTTTTTGGTTTTGAAGGTCTCCCTTATCCGTGGAATAAACTGTACACTGATCTATCTTGAGTATTGATTCCACTCTATACAAATTTACTTGGCAGCTCAAAGAAGTATTGATGAAGATCGTTAGACCAATATGTGTCTACATCAATTAATACATCATGTGTATACACTACCTAGAAGGACAGCATTATCTGCCTCCAGTGTGTTTTTAAATGCTTAGGAATACACGATGTTAATAGTTAATGTAGCGCGACACATGTTGATGTTTGGTGTCCTCCCAAGAACGTTCGAACTCTTGTAGAGTATATATTCCACACTTCTTACCATGAAGATCCGGGGTAGAACAGGTCTTCAGCAACCCATGCTTGTCTTAAAGGGCGACTAACGGGATCGGGTGGTCAGGCTCGCTGACTTGGTTGATGCATGTCATCAATCCAAATTGCGTGGATCGATGCTCATGATGTCAATCACTGGATTGTCTGGTCCAGACTCACTGGATTTTACAGACCGCCGTCATATACCTGGAATATTTGTTGGGTGCGGCGTTAAACAACAAAGAATCAAATGGCAAATTTGTACTTGTCCTTAGGATTCCTTACTATTGGGCAGTTTGGCAAGGACTTATAGGACTATTGCCAGTTTCTATCGCTGGTTTAGCATTGTGTCGAAGATTATTGTACTTATGTTGATTATTCACAGACCACCGTCATATAGCTGTAATATTGCTGAGTACGGCGTTAAATAGAGAATCTCACCCGAGTGTCTTTTGATATCAAATATATCAATAACGAGTTGATAAAAGTGGGAAAACTCCGAGGCTCGCCGAGGATTTTTTTCCACTTTTATCAACGAGTGTTGATATATTTGATATCAAAAGACACGAGGGTGAGATTTTATTTATCATCCAACATCATTCTTCCAACTTTTTAGTTTGTAGACAGTAATATGCAGTGTCTTAAGTGTAAAAAGTACTGCTTACAGCTTCAGTAGCAGAGCCATTAGTGATGTCATTTGATTGTGACGTCATGGTAACCAATGACGTCACAATGGTTTGCAATGCATTGTGATGCAATTTCATTGCAGCGATATCTACAGTGTAGATATCGCTTGATCTCACCCAAGCGATATCTCCTGTGGGAGCCAATTTTGGACGATAAACAACAAACCACAACTATAACGTCATGATTCCAAATCCCCGTTTTTAATATGGTACCAAACGAACTGAGATAATTATTATATTTAGTAGATATTTCTTCTGGGAACAAACAAGCTACAGACCCGTGAAGATTCCGGGGTAGAATTGGTCTTCAGCAACTCATGCTTGCCGTAAAAGGTGATAAGCTTGTCGTAAGAGGCGACTAACGGGATCGGTGGTCATGCTCGCTGACTTGGTTGATGCATGTCATCGTATCCCAATTGCGGATCGATGCTCATGATATTAATCACTGGATTGTCTGGTCCAGACTCGATTATCTACAGACCGCCATCATATAGCTGGAATATTGCTTTGTGCGGCGTAAAACAACAAACAAACAAACAAACAAAAACAACCATGGTTATAGTTGGGGGCTTACAAATATTTAGAGTAGTGCACGATGTCTTCATCTTTTCTCAGCAATAAGTTCATAAGGAAGGGGAAAATATGTAGCACCAATGAATCCTTTGAAGTTGAGTGTGTCACCGTCTGGCTTTCTGAAGGTGAAGTTCTGTAGCATATTGGCGAAGTACATAAGTACCTCCATCCTCGCCAAGGTCTCTCCAGCACAAACACGTGGCCCTTTAATGAAACAAGCACTTGCATACACAGTGGAATGTCATTAAATAAAACTCCATGAAGTAGCTACATCGTTGGGGGAGACTTAATGAAAGTTTCTTTGTTGTCTTGGCATTCCAAACAGGTTTTGGTTTTTTGGTTTGTTTTTCTTAGTTTGCTGTTTAACGCCGCACTCCAGCTATATGACGGCGCACTTAGTAAGAGTAAGTGAGTGAGTTGTCTTCAGCAACCAATGCTTGCCGTAAAAGGCGACTATGCTTGTCGTAAGGGGCGACTAATGGGATTTTTTGGTCTGGCTCGCTGACTTTGTTGATGAATGTCATATTCCTTTTGCGTGGATCGATGCTCATGATATCAATCACTGGATTGACTGGTACAGACTCGATTATTTACAGACCGCCGTCATAGCTCGATTATTTACAGACCGCCGTCATATAGCTGGAATATTGCTGAGCGCGGCGTTAAACAACAAACCAAACCAAAGCATATAAGAAATAATCGACTCGTGGGAGTTGTTTATCGTACAATAAAACGCTGTGTTTTATTGTACGATAAACAACTCGCCCCTCATGGTTTATTCTCCCTTCGGTGTTTTATTGTAAGATAAACAACTCCCACCCATCGTTTATTTCTTAATAATTTGTTAAAATGAAAACTTACCAATAGAAAATGGAATAAAAGCATCTATTTTCTTGAGTTTGCCCTTTTCGTCCAAGAACCTCTCCGGTTTGAATTCATCTACATCGTCCCAGTACTTGGGATCTTTGTGGACGGAGAGGACGTTGACGAGGACGATGGTTTCATTGGGGATGTTATAACCAGCAAGAGTGGTGTCGGCATTTGTACTGTGTGGGATGAAGAATGGAACTGCAAGAAAGACACACTGGACTATACAACAATATCTTATTTTCCCCTCGTTAGTTCGTAATGTAATAAGAACATTATTTCAAAACCTTTCAGCATAAATATCATTATGTTGCAAAAGCTGTTATAAATCGGTAAATGAATTCAAATGTTTGATTTCACGTATCCCTCTTATAATTAGGGGGCACGGGTGGCCCAGTCGTCTAAGGCGCCGCGATTCGCTGTGCAGAGTTGCGTCCCTTGGGCACGCCAGAAACCTATGGTTGTGGGTTCGAATCCCTGTTCGCCCCGATTATGTTTCTAGGTTGGTCAGCACCATACCTGTGCTCGTAGGTTTCACCGAAGTGGTAAACGTCTGAGACCTGCATCACTTCGGGCTTTCCTCCCACATGAAGCTGACACGCCGCGATATAACTGGAATACTGTTAAAAGCGGCGTTAAACCCAACTCACTCACTCACTCATTCGTGTTACAGAATTACAGTGTAATAAAGGAACCAAAGACCAGAGTAAGCAATGTATCAACATACCCACTGGAGAAAGTCTCAATACTTCATTAATGGTTGCTTCCACATAAGCCAGGTTAGCTCTGTCAGAGAACGTGATCATTCTCCCTCGGCCGATATTCTGAAACGTAAGCGAATGCTTCAAAGCTTTGGTCTGTATATAAGTGGGGCGCTGGGGTGGTCCTGTGGTTAAAGCGTTCGCTCGTCCCGCCGAACACCAAGGTTCGTTCCCCACATGGGTACATTTGGTGAAGTCCATTTCTGGTGTCTCACGCCATGATATTGCTGAACTGTTGCTAAAAGCGGCGTAAAACCATACTCACATAAAAGGTTCAGTTATATCATGGTATATGTCAGCTCAATATGATTTGTTTGTGTGTTTGTTTGTTGTTTAACGTCGCACTCAATGGCCGATATCTCCGTCTCACCAAAACGCAACAGCTAGATATCTACGATTTGCTACAATTCTGCGAAGTGAAAGTGTACGGAGGGTTAACATATGACAATAGTTTGTGTAAGTCTCCCTTTTGATTTATTTGTTTTCTTGATGTTGAACGCCGCAATCACCAATATTACAGCTATGTGACGGCGGTCTGTAAATAATCAAGTCTGGACCAGACAATCCTGTGATTGATATTATGCGCATCGACCCACACAATCGGTTGGTTTTTGGTTGGTTTGTTGTTTTACGCCGAACTCAGCAATATTCCAGCTATATGAAGGCGGTCTGTAAATAATCGAGTCTGGACCGGACATTCCAGTGATTAATATCATGAGCATCGATCTACGCAATTGGGATCGATGACATGCATCAACCAAGTTAGCGAGCCTGACCACCCGATCCCGTTGGTCGCCTTTTTACGACAAGCATAGTCACCTTTTACGACAAGCATAGTCACCTTTTACGGCAACATGGGTTGCTGAAGACCTATTCTTCCCCGGAATCTTCACGGGTCTAGCTCAACATGAAAGAAAAGTGATATAGAATATTGCCGCCTGGCGAAACCATTTGCAACGAGGACAGTATACTCCTCACGAACTTATGATCGTTACAGGGCGAATCTGGAAATCGAACCTATATTCAGCGAATCCTGGTACGTGGTGGGGAAGTATCTCAACACATGCATGGAGTCGCCAAATACTACATGGCCAACCGTGTCCCCAATAAAACAAGGCGACTCTTGCAGTAACAAATGCACGTGTCTTAACCTTATGTAGGAATGAACCAGGATTCTCTTCTGTTGCATTGAGATACGTACAGAGGGGATACTGCTAGAAACGTCATGATGCCGTAGAACGCCTCCGTGGTTTAGTGGTAGTGCGTCCGCCCGAAGAGCGGAAGGTCCGGGCCGCGTCATACGACAAGATGTTAAAAGATGGTACATGTTGTTACCCTGCCTGGCGATCGGCATTAAGGGGCTAAAACAAGGACTGGTCGGCTCGGAGTCATTATACTGTGTCTGAGTGGGGTATTCAGATTAAACTGCGGCATGGTATCTCAGTGGGCTAGCACTATAACATTGTCATTAGTCCGAACTAGTACAAGCAGCCACACACGCCCGTGCATGCACGTCGCTATGTAAGTAAGACCCCATTTCACCACCTCACCTCTTAATGCCATAAATCGCATAGTGCGTAGTTCTCTGGACGTACTTGGGTTATATATTTTTTCAAATGGTCAACCCTTGGGCGGTATAGAGCCTAGTGCCTTCATCAATACGTCTCTGTGTTCCGTATATGCCAGGGGGGCACAGGTGGCCCAGTCGTCTAAGGCGCCGCGATTCGCTGTGCTGAGTTGTTTCCCTTGGGACCTATGATTGTAGGTTCGAATCCCGGTTCGCCCCGATTATGTTTCTAGGTTTGTCAGCACCATACCCGTGCTCGTGGGTTTCACCGAAGTGGTAAACGCCTGAGACCTGCATCACATCGGGCTTTCCTCCCACATTAAGCTGACACGCCGTGACATAACTGGAACACTGTTAAAAGCGACGTTAATCCCCATTTCACCTCACCTCACCTATGACACTCGATCATGTAACACCTATGGGTAGGGTAACCGCTTACGTTATCAATTTCCTCTTGACATTTTTTCTGTATGTCTGGGTACTTCATCATGTACAGCAGGGCCCAGTTCACTGATGTCGACGATGTTTCCGTGCCAGCCAGAAACAGGTCAACGATGAGACGCAAAAAGTTTTCGACTGTGCAACAGAAATATTAAATACTTTATTATACTTTATGCAGAGGAAAATAAAAAACAAAAACAGAGTTGACTCTATTCTTATCACAAACATATATATGACAGTAAAACATCTTCATCTCGAAGACCAGCTACACTATATCGAGTTAACCGTATTTCGAGACAAACGGACTGTCGATATATCGAGTAACTTTAAAGGAAAGTGGGTTAATTAGGTTTCCGTTCTTAGCTCAGGCTGCATAAAATAATCCTCAGGACATTTTTCCTCAAAAAGTGGGAAGGGAGGGAGAATTTAGAATTTAGGTCTTGAAAACAACAGTGACTTGGGATGAACTCTTTTATTTTTAACCCACCAATAATACCAACAAAGTCAATTGGGCACACATGGATCACATATAATTTTCCTCTTTTAATTTAATGTCACTTATGTTATAAACAGAAACTTGAATTTAAATTTTTCTATTAGCAATACAAATGCCTTACAAACAGGATTTAAAGTGACGCGCCGGTGCACGAGAAATATTTCCTTTTTTTGTTGGACTTATATAGTTCTCGTAACAGAAACATAGCTCCGCTGGATGTATGTGCATGGGGTGGGGGTGGGGGTGGGGATTGGGTTGGGTGGGGGTGGGGGTGGTACTGCTACGTTCTTAATATTACAACAGTTTCAAATTGTACTTATTGCTTCAGCCGTACGGAGCAAGCATGTGGTAGGTGGCCCATATGACTCTTTGTGTGTAACTCTTTGGAGTAGTGTAGGGAAATTGAATGGAAAATTTTGACAATATTAATCTGGAAAAAAAAATCCCGCTATTTGGAAAAATTTGGAGGACAATCGCTCAACAAAGCGATGGATACAAACCGTACTGCTAAGTGCGTAAGTTCAAGACTTGTTTGTCGGATATATTTTATCTGAACAATAGTGACGATTTTACCCAAATCATATATTTTCACTTTAGTTATTAGATTAAGACGTTGGGATTCCGGATTAGAATAAGTCCGAAGCAACGAGGCGACTGAAAGGACGGGGTTGTAGGTCTTAGTGATTTGGTTAATTGCCTGTCATCGAATACCGACGGCGTGGCAGGTTTCTCATTGTATTAGTAGGTGAGGTGAAATGGGGTTTAACGTTGCGTCCAGGATTATTGCACTTATAAAGCGACGTGCATCTACGTGTGTGTGTTTGTGTGGCTGCTTGTACTAGTCCGGACTGATGCCGAGTTATAGTGCTAGCTCACTGAGATACCATGCCGCAGTTTAACATGAATACCCCACTCAGACACAGTATACTAACTCCGAGCCGACCAGTCTTTGTTTTAGCCCCTTAATGCCGAGCGCCAGACAGGGTAACAACAAGTACCATCTTTTAACGTCTTTTGGTATGACGAAGTCGGGGACCATTGTATCAGTATCTGGTGTGTCTGGTACATGATTCGAACAGTTCGCCAAGTATCATGTGACAAGACCGCCTCAGTGGTCTAGTGGTAGAGTGCCCGCCAGGAGAGCGGAAGGTCCGGGCTTCGATCCCCGGCCGCGTCATACCAAAAGATGTTAAAAGAAGGTACTTGTTGTTACCTTGCCTTGCGCTCGGCATTAAAGGGCTAAAAAGTGGGCGGCTCGGAGTCAGTATACTGTGTCTGAGTGAGGTCTTCATGTTAAACTGCGGCATGGTATTTCAGTGGGCTAGCACTATAAAATCGGCATTAGTTCAGACTAGTACAAGCAGCCTCACACACGCACACATACGTGCATGCACGTCACTAACTATGCTGGTCATAAGAAGCTAATTGGTCATAAGGTGAGGTGAGGTGAAACAGGGTTTACAGCGATAGAAACTAACATTTTTAGACCACTAGTCCTTATAATGATAACATATAGCAAGACCCTTACAAAGGTCAAATTTGTACCAAAAGACGTTAAAAGATGGTACTTGTTGTTACCCTGTCTGGCGCTCGGCATTAAGGGGCTAAAACAAGGACTGGTCGGCTCGGAGTGTCTGAGTGGGGTATTCATGTTAAACTGCGGCATGGTATCTCAGTTGGCTAGCACTATAAATCGGCATCCGTCCTGACTAGAACAAGCAGCCACACACACTAACATGCACGTCGCTATATAAGTGCAATAATATTGGACGCGACGTTCAACACCTTTTCACCTCACCTCTCATCTGAAGCGACCACCCCAGAGACCCTGTCGGCTCTACACGTGGAGACATCGTGTGAGGGTAAAAGATTTGTATTTTGAGACTACATAATACATGTCTTACGGCTGTAGGCTTTGTTGGTCTGTCCCTCGCCGTCACGCATCTGAATGTACAGATCCACAAAGTCACGGATGTTGTTGGGGTCATACGACTGTTCGTGCTCTTGTACGACGCCCTTGACAAACTCACACAGTCGCTTCATGTGGCCGAGAGACACTCGGGCTTTCTGTAATTGATTGACGACATAAATCAGTTACCATTTACATTAGTTTACTGATCTGTCGTCCAAGACTTTCACACATGTAGAAAAGCAGTACATTTGAGTTCGAGTTTTAAATATTTCCGTAATGAAAAATTGAGTGAGTCAGTGAGTTGGGTTTAATGCCGCTTTTAACAGTGTTCCAGTCATATCACGGCGTGTCAGCTTAATGTGGGAGGAAAGCCCCAAGTGATGCCGGTCTCAGACGTTTACCACTTCGGTGAAACCCACGAGCACGGGTATGGTGCTGACAAACCTAGAAACATAATCAGGGCGAACCGGGATTCGAACCCATAATCATAGGTTTCTGGCGTGCACAAGGGACGCAACTCTGCACAGCGAATCGCGGCGCCTAAGACGACTGGGCCACCCATGACGTATACATTCCAATGTATGTTTATTTCGAATAAAGGCGACAAAACCCTTACCATGGTCGTATAAATCCCTGCTAAAAGAGGAGTCGATTGTATGATTCCGACCATATCATTAGCACGTGTTAATGAATCACTGTTACATAGTGATGACACCAGGTGTTCGCGAAAATGTTACAGTATCCTGCTCCTCCGGTGGCAACCGTCACAAACATAAAAAAAAATTATGCAAAAACTCTTTGTTCACAAAAGGTTTTTTTTGTTTTTTGTTTAAAATAATTCAGTCCATCCAAGTTAAAAATTTAACCCTTTCTGCTAAGTATATAACGCTACATGTACAACGAACGTTATGGCTTGACCAACTTGGAACTGGAGGAAAGAGAAACTGGCGTGCGTGGACGAGAACACCAGGACCCACTTGCACAAACCGATCTTAGCGCTAAGATGATCTTAACTCCTATACTTTAACATAGGCTTACAATAGTCTTAGTGCTAAGATCGCTTTGTGCAAGTGGGCCCTGGTGTCATCACTATTTGAGGGTGATGCACAAACATCTGCTCGTGATATAGTCGGAATCGTACAATGGACCCTGTTTTGGCAGATATTTCTTACGATTTTGGGAAAGATTTTGTCGCTTTTTATTTACAGTTCATGTGCAAAATAATCTTATTAACACTCATGGTAATATGATTTTCTCACTGATGTGTTTGCACAAACGACACTGAACATATTTTCAGCAACCAAGTCAGAGTTAAAACTGTTGATATAGGGTTTTCATCACAATCGTCTTGTATTGATGGGAATTGTGAACTCTGGATCACGTGTAACATAAATAAAAGCGACAAAACCCTTTCTATATTCATAAGAAATTATACAATTTATTTACAAACAAATTATTTTTAAAAACCCAATGAATAACAATTTCTTATTAAAAACATTCCATGGTGGGTCCTAATCCAATTAATCACAGGGTAGAATAGGTCTTCAGCAACCCATGCTTGCCATAAACGGCGACTATGCTTGTCGTAAAAGGCGGCTAACGGGATCGGGTGGTCGAGCTCGCTGACTTGATTGATGCATGTCATTGATCCCAATTGCGTGGATCGATGCTCATGTTGTCAATCACTGGATTGTCTGGTCCAGACTCGATTATTTTTTTTTTACAGACCGCCGTCATACAACTGGAATATTGCTGAGTGCGGCGTTAAACAACAAACAAGCAAACAGATTATTAAAAGAACAAATTATTTTAAAAGAGAGTCCATGGTCGATCTCAATCCAATTAATCACAAATTACTACAAAGGAAATTGGCCGCCTCCGTGGTCTTGTGGTAGAGCCTGGAGAGCGGAAGGTCCGGGGTTCGATCCCCGGCCGCGTCATACCAAAAATGGTACTTGTTGTTACCCTGTCTGGCGCTCGGCATTAAGGGACTAAAACAAGGACTGGTCGGCTCGGAGTCAGTATACTGTGTCTGAGAGGGGTATTAAATATTAAAAAACAAAACAATTTCACCTCACAGAGGAAATTATTTCAAAAGTGCGTCCATGTTCGACCAAATCAAATGAGTCAAGCGAATAACGACTAAATACCTGTTGCGTTGATGGGAGCATCCTCAGTAATGGTATGGCATAATAAGGGTTGAGACTTCCTGGTGACTTGACCACGTCGTTAAGGAGACGCATCAGTTCATGAAACTTCTCATCGTGGTAGTCATATCTACAGTGTCAAAAACAGAAACACCTATCAGTGGAGTCCCGGGGGAGTTCCGGAAAATATATACTCTTCAAATAAAATAGGGGATACTTGCACATAACTTAAAATTTCCAAATTGTAAGAGATATTAGTTCCCAATAATAGTTGTATGGATATAATGAACGAATTGGGAACAGGTTACAACCGGTGGTGAAGTAGGCCCAGCTAGAGTTGCATTGGAGCCAACACAGTCTGTGTGTTAAAACTACAACCACTGTTGTTTTTCAATTGCGTTGGTCCGTGGTCTTGTGGTAGAGCGTCGGCCCGGGCCCGGAGGGTGGACGGTCGGGGGTTCGATCCCTAAAAGACGTGAAAACATGGTACTTGTTGTTACCCTGTCTAGCGCTCGGCATTAAAACAAGGAGTGGTTGGCTCGTAGTCAGTATACTGTGTCTGAGAGGGGTATTAAATATTAAAACTTCGGCATGGTATCTCAGTGGGTTAGCACCATAAATCGGCATTTTTCGGGGGAGGGGGGAGGAGGAAGGGGAGGGGACAAGCAGGGGTTGCTGAAGACCTAGTCTAACCCGGGTCTTCACGAGTTATGTACCTGGGGGGAGAAAGAGGTTCATATTTGTTATTCAGTCCCACTGAAATTACAAAATATGTTTTCTTTGTTTGTTTGTTTGTTCGTTTATTGTTTAGCCGAAATATTCCGGCTATATGACGGCGGCTCTATGACGATTGAGCTCATGTTCATCGATCCAAAATTGGGATACGATGACATGCATCAACCAAGTCAGCAAGCCTGACCACCCGATCCCGTTAGTCGCCTCTTACGACAAGCGTAGGTGCCTCTCACACTGTCATAATTATTCATGGACCTGACAACACCATCTCACATCACATTATTGACATCAGATGACAAAATCATGGTGTGAAATCCTCAGCTTCTTTCTTTACTTTGAGAAATACACCAGATACATAGTTCAACTCAGAGCTCCAGATAACTTTTTGAGCAATTGAGTTTTCACATTGAAGGTTTCTATTTTTATTAGGTTATTGCATTTTTCATTGGGTTACCAATATTTTTTCACTCATCTTTTCATCCCTCTATTGAGTTTTCAAAAAGCGTGACGATCTCATGCTATAGTTTTATTTATACATCATTTTCAGTCAAGTGGAATGTTACACTACAGTCGGATATTAATTTCAACAAGGACTTCAGTGCAAGCATTGGGTTTCTCGTGTCACAGATGATTTGGTCAATAAATGTATTTTATTTATTTTTCGATCATTCGATGAACATGCACACACAAATATTGTTTTGAAGAAAATAATGATTTTTGTCATAGACTGTCGAGTTCCCAAGATCAAGAAAAACGTATACCCGTATTTTACGTAAACATGGCATGACAACCTGGTCGATTTTAGTTGCCTTGGTCGATCAGCAGTGGATCGTGGGGAGCTATTCTAACCAATTGGTGACGCCACCACTCTTTTGTCTGGTCCAGAATCAGTTATTAAGAAACTGCCTCCGTGGTCTAGAGGTAGAGCGTCCGCCCGGAGAGCGGAAGGTCCGGGGTTCGATGCCCGGCCGTGTCATACCAAGACGTTAAAAGATGGTACTTGTTGTTACCCTGTCTGGCGCTCGGCATTAAGGGGCTAAAACAAGGACTATTCGGCTCGGAGTCAGTATACTGTGTCTGAGTGGGGTATTCATGTTAAACTGCGGCATGGTATCTCAGTGAGCCAGCACTATAAATCGGCATCAGTCCGGACTAGTACAAGCAGCCACACACACACACACACGTACATGCACGTCGCTATATAAGTGCAATAATCTTAGACGCGACGTTAAACCCCATTTCACCTCACCTCACCTCACCTTGTAATAAATAATTCAGAATAACGTTTAGAATAAAGGACCACTCATCTGCAGCTCGACACTAATATTCATAGTCTTGTATTCGTTGTTCCTCGTTCGTTTTTGTTCTAATTAATTACGGTTAAATTTTACCCCCACTGTGGTTCTGTAAACATTATTTCTTAAAAACAAACTTTTCCAATGTTCCAAATATCGACGGGCATCGGGGTAGCCTTGTGGTTAAAGCGACCGCTCGTCACGCCCAATGTCCGGATTCGATTCCCCACATGGGTACAACGTGGGAAGCGCATTTCCGGGTTCACTTGCACAAAGCGATCTTAGCGCTAAGACGATCATAACTCCCATTCTTTAACGTAGTCTTACGACAGTCGTGGCGCTAAGATCACTATGTGCAAGTGGGCCCTGGTCTCCCCAGCCATGACATTGCTGAGGGGGCACGGGTGGCGCCGCGATTCGCTGTGCAGAGTTGCGTCCCTTGGTCACGCAAGAAACCTATGATTGTGGGTTCGAATCCCGGTTCGCCCCGATTATGTTTCTAGGTTTGTCAGCACCATACCCGTGCTCGTGGGTTTCACCAAAGTGGTAAACATCTAAGACCTGCATCACTTGGGGCTTTCCTCCAACATTAAGCTGACACGCCGCGATATAACTGGAATAATGTTAACAGCGGCGTTAAACCCAACTCACTCACACACTGATATTGTTGAAATATTCAACAATATCAGTGAGTGAGTGAGTTGGGTATTGCGATGAAGATTCATTCACTCCGAATGTGGAGACTCCAACTCACCTCTCGCCGAAGATGAGGCTGCAGATGATGTTGCCGGTAGCTACGTCCATGAAGTCGTGGAAATGGAACCGCTTTCCATCACTCTCTGAAAGGATGGTGAGGATGGCGTTGACCTCGTCCTTCACCTTGTCCTCTACGCTACTCTTCCCCATCCCAAAGTCCCTCATGGTCTGAAGGCTGAACCTCCTTAAGTCCTTCCATGCCTGGCCGCTGCTCATGAAGATACCTGTGAGTGAATGATTTAGAGTATGATTTTACGCCGCTTTTCAACACTATCACAGCTGGGGACACCAGAAATGGTGAGTGAGTGAGTGAGATTTTACGCCGCGTTTTGCAGTATTCCAACAATATCACGGCGGGGGGCTCTAGAAATGGTATCATACATGAGTGAGTGAGAGTGAGTGAGATTTTACGCCGCTTTTCAACACTATCACAGCTTGGGACACCAGAAATGGTGAGTGAGTGAGTGAGTATGATTTTACGCGCTTTTTGCAGTATTCCAACAATATCACGGCGGGGGGCTCTAGAAATGGTATCATACATGAGTGAGTGAGAGTGAGTGAGATTTTACGCCGCTTTTTGCAGTATTCCAACAATATCACAGCGGGGGGACACCAGAAATGGTGAGTGAGTGAGTATGATTTTACGCCGCTTTTTGCAGTATTCCAACAATATCACAGCGGGTGGCTCTAGAAATTGGTATCATACATGAGTGAGTGAGTGAGTGAGTGAATGAGATTTTACGCCGCTTTTTGCAGTATTCCAACAATATCACAGCGGGGGGGGGGGGGGCACCAGAAATGGGTATCATACATGAGTGAGTGAGAGGTTTTACGCCGCTTTTTGCAGTATTCCAATAATATCACGGCGGGGGACCCTAGAAATGGTGACTGAGTGAGTGAATGATTGCGGAAAGCCGTTGCGGAAAGACGTTAAAAGCATAGTATGTGGTGTTCAGTATTATTGAGATAAAAAGGACTGGTCGGCTCGGAGTCAGTAATGTGTGTGGTAGGGGTATCCATGTCAAGTCTTTCTAGTTGAGGCGGACTGCCTCCGTGGTCTAGTGGTAAAGCGTAGGCCCGGAAAGTGGAAGGTCGGGATTCATACCAAAAGACGTTCAAATATGGTACTTGTTGTTACCCTGCCTGGCGCTTGACATTAAGGGGCTAAAACAAGGACTGGTCGGCTCGTAGTCAGTATACTGTGTCTGAGTGGGGTATTCAGGTTAAACTGCGGCATGGTATCTCAGTGAGCTAGCACTGTAACTCCGGCATTAGTCCAGGTACAAGCATCCAGGTTATCCAAGCATCCAGGTACGTCGTTATATAAGTGCAATAGTTTTGAACGCGATGTTAGATCTCATTTCACATCTCCACACTTTTACCCTTGGAAGGAAATTAATGCGACTTTTACCCTTGGAAGGAAATTAATGCGAGTGTGAGTGTGTTTGCGTACCCGTTCTCATTTCTGCCTCGCACAAGACGTGTATTATCTTCGCACTAGGATAGGGTAATCTATTGGATAAAGCGTTTGCTCGTCACGCCGAAGACCCAGTTTCGATACCCCACAATGTACAATGTGTGAAGGACCCGTGAAGAGTAGAATAGAGTAGGTCTTCAGCAACCCATGCTTGCCGGTAAAGGTGACTATGCTTGTCGGGAGAGGCGACTAATGGGATCGGGTGGTCAGGCTCGCTGACTTGGTTGATGCATGTTATCGTATCCCAATTGTGTGGATCGATGCTCATGATGTCAATCTCTGGATTGTCTGGTCCAGACACGATTATTTACAGACCGCCGTCATTTAGCTGGAATATTGCTGAGTGCGGCGTTAAACAACAAACAAACAAACAAACAATGTGTCAAGACCATTTCCGGTGCCTCTCGCCGTGATATTTCTGGAATATTGCTAAAAGCGGCGTAAAACTATACTCACTCACTCACTATCTTCACACTGATAAACTGCAGTCGTATGTTGTAACTGTTAACGAACACTGAGTGTGTTACGATACGCTTTGTACCTTTGGACTCCGACACACACGACTCCCCTATTACTGAGGACACATGAAGCCGCTGTTCAAGGTCATATAACGTACCGTAGATAATCCATTTAGAGCACCTGTGCTTATCAATAACAGACTCTTTTCGTATCTGTGTTTTATCCGGAAGTGATGGGAAGGGACAACTACGGGACCGACCATCTGATATCCTGGGACGGGGGTCTGGGGTTTTATCGATATTCTTGGCACTGAAAATTCTTGAAAAATTAATGATGCTTCAGACTTGGAAAAAAAGAACTTGTCTGGCTCAAAAATTACAAAATAATATATAGGCTCATAGTTTTAATTTAAAAAATATCTTGTTTTGCAGCTGTAACTTAAAACATATCCAATCTCCAGAAAAAATGCCAGGATTCTCCCCCAGATTTATCAAATGGTCAGTCCCTTTCATTGGCAATATCTATGGTATTACCCACTGGGTAAACATTAAGTTGTACACAAGTAGTGAATGCCTGTCGAGTCAGGCAATCATGTGGTTGGCTTCACGAACAACTATACAAAATGTCAGTTCACATATGACAACCCGATAAAAAGTAGTCAGCTCCTTTGGGTTGTCCCGTTGGGATTCTGGGTTATGTTTGTCTGAAGTCTCACCGACTTTACAGATCGGGGGGTCAGGCTCGGTGACTTGGTTCATTGCGCGTCATCGTACCCCGACGGCGTGGATCGTCGCTCATGACATCAATCACTGGATTGTCTCGATTACTTACGGGCTGAGTGCGGCGTTAATGAACAAAGGAAATCTTAAGTATACAGTGGATGACATATGTACAACTTACTGTCGTTGGTTTGACTGACCCACCACATAAAATATGCACGTCTTAACCTCTTTAATTTCCACTTAAACTGTGCACGACATACCCTCTTTAATTTGACTGACCCACCACATAAAATGTGCACGTCTCAACCTCTTTAATTTCCACATAAACTGTGCACGACATACCCTCTTTAAATTGACTGACCCACCACATTAAATGTGCACGTCTTAACCTCTTTAATTACCACATAAACTTTGCACGACATACCCTCTTTAATTTGACTGACCCACCACATTAAATGTGCACGTCTTAACCTCTTTAATTTCCATATAAACTGTGCACGACATACCCTCTTTAATTTGACTGACCCACCACATTAAATGTGCACGTCTTAACCTCTTTAATTTCCACATAAACTGTGCACGACATACCCTCTTTAATTTGACTGGCCCACCACATAATATGTGAACGACTTAACGACTCTTATTTAAATAATGTTTTTGTTTGTTTGATTTTAACGCCGCACTATATTGCTATATACCAGCTATATGACGGCGGTCTGTAAATAATCGAGTCTGGACCAAACAATCAAGTGATTGACATCATGAGCATCGATCCACGCAATTGGGATACGATGACATACATCAACCAAGTCAGCGAGCCTGACCACCCGATCCCGTTCGTCGCCTCTTACGTCAAGCATAGTCGTCTTTTACGGCCACCATGGGTTGCTGAAGATCTATTCTTACCGGGATCTTCACGGGTAGTTTCCACATAAAATGTAAATTTTCCCGGCTTACCCTCTTTAATTTCCACATTAAATGTTGACGACTTACCCGCTTTGATTTGACTGACCAACCACATAAAATGTGCACGTCTTAACCTCTTTAATTTCCACATAAACTGTGCACGACATACCCTCTTTAAATTGACTGACCCACCACATAAAATGTGCACGTCTTAACCTCTTTAATTTCCACATAAACTTGGCACGACATACCTTCTTTAATTTGACTGACCCACCACATAATATGTGCACGTCTTAACCTCTTTAATTTCCACATAAATTGTGCACGACATACCCTCTGTAATTCGACTGACCCACCACATAATATGTGAACGACTTAACGACTCTAATTTCCATAAAAAAAATTTTTGTTTGTTTGATTTTAACGCCGCACTATATTGCTATATACCAGCTATATGAGGGCGGTCTGTAAATAATCGAGTCTGGACCAGACAATCCAGTGATTGACATCATGAGCATCGATCTACGCAATTGGGATTGATGACATACATCAACCAAGTCAGCGAGCCCGACCACCCGATCCCGTTAGTCGCCTCTTACGACAAGCATAGTCGTCGTTTACGGCCATCATGGGTTGCTGAAGACCTATTCTAACCGGGATCTTCACGGGTAGTTTCCACATAAAATGTAAATGTTCCCGGCTTACCCTCTTTAATTTCGACATAAATTGTTGATGACTTACCCGCTTTGATTTGACTGACCAACCACATAAAATGTGCAAGACTTAAGTATACAGTGGATGACATATGCACAACTTACTCTCGTTGGTTTGACCGACCCACCACATCAAATGTGCATGTCGTAACCTCTTTAATTTCCACATAAAATGTTCCCGACTTACCCGCTTTGATTTGACTGACCCACCACATAAAGTTAGGCCGATGGCTGAAGCAATCAGCTTGTGTAACGAAGGCGTCACGGACCACATCAAATCCACTGAGAACCACCACCAAGTAGCCACCGACGTACATGCGGAACACCTTCCCGTATTGTTTGTGATAGCGGGCGAACTGCTCCATCCGGTTCCCCTTCATCAGGAAATCCAGGCTGCCGAGGAACGGTATAACAGGAGGTCCGGGCGGCAGGTTTTTAGGCTTGGAAATAACATAATAGGCTATGCAAAATACAATAAGAAATACTAGCACCGTCGGCAAGTCCATTCCAAGCAGGAGCGCCATGGCTGAGGTATAGATGAGGGCCCAGTACTTTCTACGCAGAGCACAGCACAGTAGACAGGGCAGTAGTCAGGTCACTGCCGCCTGCTATCAGTTTCCAGCTCGAAGTATGTCATGTCTGATTATGTACGTGTCAGCTATAGGCGCTACCCGCAGTCTCTATTGCATTGTGCGTGACCTGTCCTATTTAAAACTCCGTTGTCATCTTGTGTAAGGTACACCGGAGTGGTGTAGTGAGGATGCTTTCGCGCCGCTTTTGACAATATTCTTGTTTGTTTGTTGTTTAACACCGCACTCAGCAATATTCCAGCTATTTGACTGCGGTCTGTAAATAATCGAGTCTGGACCAGACAATCCAGTGATTGACATCATGAGCATCGATCCACGCAATTGGGATCGATGACATGCATCAACCAAGAGAGCGATGTAGGAATCGAACCTGGGTCTTCAGAGTGACGAGCGAACGCTGTAACCAGTAGGCTACCCGACCGCCACTATAAAACATATAGACCTATGGGCCCCCGGTTTGCCCAGTCGTCTAAGGCGCTGCGATTCGCTGTGCAGAGTTGCGTCCCTTGGACATGCCAGAAACCTATGATTGTGGGTTCGAATCCCGGTTCGCCCCGATTATATTTCTAGGTTTGTCAACACCATACCCGTGCTCGTGGGTTTCACCGAAGTGACATAAAGCAGTTTACTTTTTTTAAACTGGACATGATTGCAACTGTTTGTTTGTTGTTTAACACTGCACTCAGCAATATTCCAGCTATATGACGGTGGTCTGTAAATAATTGAGTCTGGACCAGACAATCAATCCAGTGATTGACATCATGAGCATTGATCCACGCAATTGGGATTGATGACATGCATCAACCAAGTCTGCGAGCCTGACCACTCGATCCCGTTTGTCGCCTCCTCCTTATTGTATTGGTAAACTTTTTTGAAAGCTCATTGTTTTTCTCCCTCAGATATCTCAAAGTAAAACTGTAAGCATTGTCTGGCCTTGGGGTCACTCAGTGTATGTAAAGCTAAGATGGCTAGAATATATTCAATGAAACAAAACAATATGATTTTCAGAGTTTTATTGGTGTAAATGTGAAAGACAATGATACTGAGTAATTATGTAAGTATGTTTTTGAATGTCTGAAATGTTTCAAGAGCTTCAGTGCATCTGAGTGAGACAGTGAGGAATTGCATTCCACAGAAGTGGGGCTGCGACATAAGCAAATAATATCTTCATAATTATCATAACCACAAGTATTATCCTCATCACCATCAGGAAACATTCTGCACATCACCATCATATCATGAACATAATCATCATCATAAACATCATAATGCATGTTATTATGATGGGCACATGCAATGCATATCTGGTCATGAATATTATCACCCTCTATATGCACAATTGCACCTTATCGTCATCATCATCATCACTATTATTGATGAAAACTGCCATGACTGTGCAATATGGAGTTGATAATTTTTTCCCTATTGTCACCCAGATATCTGTCTAATACAAACATCATCAACAGAGGGCAATAGGCCTAACTGCACACCATTTACATCACAAAGGTCATCAACCTTGCAAGACATAAAACGCAGCAAATAATGTCAGCAACATCCTATGGTCCACACTCTCAAACATGAGCATTCAAATCAGATCATTTGCTCGCATCTAAATGAAGGATGCAAGGCTACTTGAGCCAACTGGATGTGAGCTTTTAAAATTTAGCTTAATTTCTTTACCATGTTATCAGAAATTTCGAATTTAACAAACAGACCACAAACATTCCCTTGGTGGTACTTCCCTTTTCTTATGGCACTCAGAAATAGGTCATATATTATTGACATTGACATTCGGAACTGTTCGTATTACAGATACAGAACACAGACAGCACACTCGTACCAAGAAATATGAAGCCTTGATGCTGCTTGACTGATCAGCAAGTTCCCCTGACATGACCTCCAAGATCTTCATTCAGATGGGTATTGTAGAGTAAAAAATGATTTTAAATAGAATGACATGCATATCATCTTGATGCATTCTATTATCACTCTCGACTTCATCATCATCATCATCATCATGAATATCATAACGCTGAGTACCTCATCTCCATTGCATGCATCAGCAATCTTCTAAGAGATCTAAGAGAGCACCAGTCATCATCATCATCATCATCATAATAAATATCATAAACCTGAGTACCATATCTCTACTGCATGCATCAACAATCTTCTAAGAGATCTAAGAGGGCACCAGTCATCATCATCATCATCATAATAAATATCACAAACCTGAGTACCATATCTCTACTGCATGCATCAACAATCTTCTAAGAGATCTTAGGCAGCACCAGTCATCATCATCATCATAATAAATATAAACCTGAGTACCATATCTCTATTGCATGCATCAACAATCTTCTAAGGGATCTAAGAGAGCACCAGTCATCATCATCATCATCATCATAATAAATATAAACCTGAGTACCATATCTCTATTGCATGCATCAACAATCTTCTAAGAGAGCACCAGTCATCATCATCATCATAAATATCATAAACCTGAGTACCATATCTCTACTGCATGCATCAACAACCTTCTAAGAGATCTAAGAGAGCACCAGTCATCATCATCATCATCATCATAAATATAAACCTGAGTACCATATCTCTACTGCATGCATCAACAATCTTCTAAGAGATCTAAGAGAGCACCAGTCATCATCATCATCATCATCACCATCTCCAATGAATGCATCAACAATCATGTAAGAGATCTAAAACAGCACCAGCTGAAGAGTAAAGCTCATCACGCCAAAAGATCAAATAGGATCCAGCATTGGAATATTGTAAAGACATAGTAAACATACAAATAATAACATATTGCTTTAACAAACACATATAAGCACCATATCAATAACAAAAAAATGTTTTGATCAATTTCAATCTTATTATTTTTTTCCTATATCTTAAAACTACATTAGGAATTTTTTTCCTATATCATGATAAATACAGGCAAAACATGGACATAAAAGATACAATATTACATATCATCAAGAACAAACATTTTTGGCTACATAGTATATTAATTTTTTTTGTGATGCCTGAATATTGGTTGTAGGATTTCAAAAGTTGCTTTCAAGGACAAGTGTAAAGTTAACTTATGCTCAAGAAATTGGTAGACGCAGATTTCAAGAAATTGGTAGATGGAGTGACCTTAAATATTTCCATAATAAACAAGAATTTATGGTTTACAATACTGGTTAACAGTTCAGTAAACATTAAACATTGATCAATTTATCAAATTAAACCCGAAAGGGGCAAATTAAAAAAAATTCCTGGGAACATGAGAAACCTCACATCACCAAGACAGGTCAATCTGAATTCTTACTGCAATAGGATCCTCTGAACATGGGTGACCTGTGATTAACATCCGGTTCCTGCCAGTGACCATTCACCATCGCTCAAGTAAACTGAAGCAGGTTCAGAAGAGGGGGGGAGTTACCGTCGAAGGGAGAATAAAAAACGTCTGTCAAAAAAACCGTCCGTCGTGCCCCTTCCTACACCAAGCTACAATCTACACCAATCCTGCCAAATCAAAGGAGGAACATGATGTCTCCCACTGATCTCCCATGTTGGAAGATCCTATTGCTGTAAGAATTCATTGAATCATCTTGGGATGGGAAGCATCTGCCATTCCCTACAAGGGGGGTGACTCATCAGTCTAGCGCCTCTTTCCTTGGCTTCCACTGCCTCCACACTACTGGGTTCGGCTTGCAGAACACAGACTAAGACTTTAATAGCTCCGACTGATGTGTCTAATCATGGAGCCAAGCCCCCTTTACATCAAATAGAACTCATTCTCGGTCAACTACCAATTTCTTGAAAGCGTAACTCATTTAACTATTTACATTCTAAAAGGGCTGTAACGTTTCACCGATACCGTGTCATCAGTACCTAGGAACAGACGATAATTGAATCGTCAGTTTGTGAGATCGCAATACCCTACATAGAATAGAAACTGCTGGACACCTCCTGGAATGTTGGAAGTAGAATAGCACCACTGTAAGCAAGGTTGAACACGAGGATGTGGTGGTAATAGTTGACGCTCCTGCTGCAGTTACGTCTCCAGTTTGGGTTTGAAAACTCCTCCAACAGAAAAAACGGTATGCAGATTGTGTCAAGCTGTTATATCTTACAGCCGAAAAATGACATGTCAACACATTTCAGAAGACATCGTGCGTATTTCAGTCCCTTCATCATTTCTTACTATTTGTTGTGGTGTATCGTGATACCAGTGGTATCGTCAGTCTCTATCCTAGCGCACTGCATATCTCGTGTGGTACACAGCTCTATAGGCTGACCAATAAAACCCCAGATGAATATGTGAACTTATGAACTGATTTCACTATTAATTATAACAATAGCTTTAATATGGAATGGCAAGTTCTATTGTCACTGAGGTATCTTTCATACTTAAACAATCCATTGAAACATATTAAGACACAATTCATATCTTCATCTATCTTTCACACAATCATTTCATCACAAAAACCCAAATATATTCTTGTGACCATGGCAACAAAATTTGCAATAAATCATCTTCAAGATCTTCCCACCAGTAATATACATCATAAAATACTATCAAAGACACAAGTAAAATAAAACATTGTTCATATAAGAACAGTAAAAAGTATATCCATGTAACAATCAAATCAACAACAAAAAATGCATATCACAGTTCTAATTCAATATCGAGTTCCTCGCCAGTCCGTTAGGGGTAATCCTTTGTAGTTATCTTCATGCTGTCTACCCACTGTTCCCCATGAAGCTGATGTAGTTCTTGGAACTGTCACGGGGAAGCTGCTTGGAGAGCTTCTTCTTCAGGAAGGATTGCTTGACCTTGAACTTCTTGTCCGTGCTGACGAGTTGTTCTGGGAAGTAGCCGTATGTCCTCCTCTTGACCAGCTTTCCCTTCTTGATGTATCCATAGACCCGGCCGGCAACAGCAGATTCAGTCACATAAATCTTGCGTCCTGAAAGAGTCCAAATATCACATCTGATGAAAATCGGCCACTCAGTCAGTTATTGACATCCATTTGTCAGTTAGGCCGAGATAAGTGACTTTATCATATGATGGAGATTTTGGCCGAGAGGTGTTCACATGACAGTCAGCAAAAATGCAAGCTGACTTCATCCAAATTCAGACCAACCGGTATGTGGTCTAGTGTCCTTGTGGGCGGAAGGTCCGGCACTAGAAGGTGCCTGTGGAGCAAAAGGTTTGGGGTTTGATCCAAGGCTGCTTCACACCAAAAGAAGGTGGTACTTGTTATTATCCTGCCTGGCGCTCGGCATTAAGGGGCTTAAACAAGGACTGGTTGCCTCGGAGTCAGTATACTGTGTCTGATTGGGGTATTGATGCCAAATTGCGGCATGATATCACAGTGGGCTAGCACAGTCCAGACTAGTACAACCAGTCACACATGTGCATGCACGTCACAACATAAGTGCAATAATCTTGAACACAATGCTACACCCAGCGACAGAAACTGGCAATAGTCCTATATGTCCTTGCAAAACTGCCCAATAGTAAGGCATCCTAAGGACAAGTACAAATTTGCCATTTGTAAGGGTCTTGCTATATATTATCCTCATAAGGACTAGTGGTCTAAAAATGTTAGCTTCTATCGCTGTAAACCCTGTTTGACCTCACCTTACCTTAAAACCAATTAGCTTCTTATGAGTGAGTGAGTGAGTTGGGTTAAACACCACTTTTAACAGTATTCCAGTTACTGGCATGTCAGCTTAATGTGGGAGGAAAGCCTGTAATGATGCAGGTCTCAGACGTTTACCACTTTGGTGAAACCCACGAGCATGGGTATGGTGCTGACAAACCTAGAAACATAATTTAGGGCGAACCGGGTTTCGAACCCACTATCATAGATTTCTGGCGTGCCCAAGGGACGCAACTCTGCACTGCAAATCACGGCGCCTTAGACGACTGGGCCACCCGTGCCCCCAGCTTCTTATGACCAGCATAGTTTGCTGATCAAGAGAGGGGCCTGAATGTTGGCTTTGACAGGCAGAGTGGATTCCATCAACATACCTGCTTTGAATGAGATCTCATCGTCAGAGCGGGCAGTGAAGGCCTTGACAGCGTACACCTTCACCTTCTGGCCTTGTGTGATGTTTCCAAGATCAGCATCTTTGGGCTGTCCTTGTGCCTGGTCATCATCAGAGTCAGAATCCGCTGAAACAGAAATTGATTCATTTTATCTTTAGTGATGTCATCATGTCCAAAAGTAAAAGTTGTTCTGCAGCATTAGAAATTGGCACTGGTCCTGTAGTCCTTGCCAAACTGCCCACAGTTAAGGTATCATAGGGACTAGTAGTAATATGCCATTATTGAGGGTTTCGCTATATGTGATCATCATAAGGACTAGTGGACTAAAAATGTTAGTTTCTACCGCTGTTCTGCCTGCCTGAGGATAGTAAATGTTTCAAAAGGCTGGTGAAATAACTAACCCTGAGATAGGAGAAGACCCTGTGAGTGAGTGAGTGAGTGAGTGAGTGAGTGAGTGAGTGAGGTTTTACGCCACTTTTAGCAATATTCCAGCAATGTCACGGCAGGGGACACCAGAAATTGGCTTCACACATTGTTCCCATGTCGGGTATTGTACCTGGGTCTTCGGCGTGACGAGCGAGCGCTTCAACCACTAGGCTACCCAACCGCCCCTTTTTTTGCTTGGAAAACATCGACGGTGTTTGAAGGACTCTTTCATAACCAACCCTCTAGCAAATAAACAATACTTGCAGGGGCCTTTATCATTCTGCCACACAGTGTATATTCTACTCATTTCATCGGACACAAAGTGTACTTATCATAGAATGGTTTGGTTTCTTGGCAGGATAAAGCCACGGCAAACTGATAAAAAACGGTATCCATTGGAGTCATATACAGATAAAAATGCAAGTTTGAAAGGTCAGATAGGTACTACTTTCAGTGTTTACAAACAAAAATGGCGTCGCACTTACAAGCAGGGGTCCGGAAAATTTAAAATCCCAATCGGACATTTGCGTTTAGGCCACGCCCCCTTCAAATAGCGTATTTTAGTACGACTTTTCACACAGTACAAGTTTATGTATTCATAATATGATGAATTATGAATTGTTTCAATTTAAATTGTTTAATTCACTGGACAATTAATAACAAATAATATCATTTTAGATATACATGGAAAACATACGTTTGTTTCTGTTATAATAACGATCTGTTAACGTAGTGAACGGTCTAATTAATATTCATGAGTTATATTCATGAGTCTGCTCAAGTGTACGCGTTGTAACATTTGGATCGAGACTATTATCCCATATTTGTTTATCACGTGACCTCACGGGAATTTTTTTTTTTTAAACTAAAGATTTTTTTAAAAACAAGACAGATAATTTAATCACAAATACTAAAATATTGAATGTACGGACAATACTTTTTAAAATGTCCGGTATTTTAAACCGGACATTTGAGATTCCCAATCGGACATGTCCGGCGCATATGACGGTTTCCGGACCCCTGCTTACAAGTAGTACTTGTCAATCGGCGATCGAGTCAGAATTAACCATCGTGAATCTGGAGAAACTACAGGGAGAATTGTCACTATGATCAAACAATAGTATATCATACTGAAAATCAGCGTCTAACTGGAACGTAGCTGAGGCATTTTACAAGTTTGGGCAACTTTGGAGACATAAATTGCAAAACAATTTAGCAAGGACACTAGCCTAGCAGGATCAGTTTCTATATCTGTGCTTAAAGACCTCTGTGGCTTGGGGCCTTTTTCCCAATTTAAAACAGTTGGATTTGGTTGAAATATGTCAGAATTGCTACCTTGTTTCTTTTGTAGCTGTGAGTATGTATGACTCTGCACTTTATGACAGGAGAGGCAGACGTGATATCTCATAGACTAGTATTAGAGTAGCTTCCCTTTGACAAAAGGCAGTGGGCAGATCGATGGATTGCCACGAAAGGCAAGTAGAAACAATATGTAAAGGCTATTGTCTTTCTGCCTGTATCCAGTTATGCCACTAAGAAACAGGTTATTGTTGGAACTATATTGAATGCTGTCACTGTCCCACTGACAAAAATGAAGGCATACTAAATACAATGTTTTTTCTTAATACAGGATATTAACCATAAAAAAAACCCCACACACTCACATGATAACCTCTAAATTCTACACATGATACAACAAATAATAGACCGTGAAAATCCGTGGTAGAATAGGTCTTCAGCAACATTCTGCCGTAAAAGGCGACTAACAGAATCAGGTGGTCAGGCTTGCTGACTTGGTTGATGCATGTCATCGATCCCAACTGCGTGGATCAATGCTCATGATGTCAATCACTGGATTGTCTGGTCCAGACTCGATTATTTACAGACCGCTGTCATATAGCTGGAATATTACTGAGTGCGGCGTTAAACAACAAACAAACAAAGTTATCCAAAGATCGACACAACCGAAAAATAATGAATAAAGAAGGAATACGCTAGGACCAAGTGTGTGGCATTAAACAACAAACAAACAACCTTGCTGGGGTCTCCCGGAAAGCTGAAAATCAAGGGATACCCTAGTCCTTGGGTCTTCCTGCTATTTTTAGTCACTCATGTAAATATTGTAAAACTATCAGACCTGGGGTGGAGTCAGCTTGCTTTTTTGTTGACTGTCATGTGAACACCTCTCGGCCTAACTGACAAATGGATGTCAATAACTAACTGAGGGGCCAATTTTCATCAGATGTGATATTTGGACTCTTTCAGGACGCAAGATTTATGTGACTGAATCTGCTGTTACCGGCCGGGTCTATGGATACATCAAGAAGGGGAAGCTGGTCAAGAGGAGGACATACGGCTACTTCCCAGAACAACTCGTCAGCACGGACAAGAAGTTCAAGGTCAAGCAATCCTTCCTGAAGAAGAAGCTCTCCAAGCAGCTTCCCCGTGACAGTTCCAAGAACTACATCAGCTTCATGGGGAACAGTGGGTAGACAGCATGCAGATAGCTACAAAGCTACTGCCGTCTCATAGCAGGAATATTGCTGAGTGCGGCGATAAACAACAAACAAACAAACAACAAATAATACTAACATAGGTCTTTATGATTATCCACCACTGTCTCCTTCATGATGGGAGCAGCTGTCGGTCTCCTGTCTGTCACAACGTTGGGAATCTCCACTTCAGGCAGGTAACAGATGTCTTTTGGAGTCGGGGTGGCAAACATCACATGACGGGAATATCTTGATGCTTCTGTAAGAATGATTTGGTATTTCAGTCATCTAATAATGTCACATATTAATGTATGGGGTATGTTCAAATTGATGCAGGTTGTAGATATTTGTTGATACAGTCAAACATGGTCGTGTCGAACTTTGATGTGCCCTAAGGTAAAAGCTTGATCCTTGCATATTCCTTCTGTATTCATTATTTTTCAGTTGTGTCGAACTTCGGATAACTTTGTTTGTTTATTGTTTAACGCCGCACTCAGCAATATTCCAGCTATATGACAGAGGTCTGTAAATAATCGAGTCTGGACCAGACAATCCAGTGACTGACATCATGAGCATTGATCCACACAATTGGGATCGATGACATGCATCAACCATATCAGCGAGCCTGAACACCCGATCCCGTTAGTCGCCTTTTACGGAAAGCATGGGTTGCTGACGACCTATTCTACCCCGGATCTTCACGGTCTCGGATAACTTGAAGTAATTACGTACATCCCTTGAACTTAGACACAACAGTGTTTGACTGTATAATGTGGTAAAATCGGAGATTCAAACCCACAATCAGCAGATAGGAGCATGAGTAAGGGGTACACTTATACACAGTGAATCCTAAGCCACAGAAGTCTCTAAGGGAATAAAGGCTATGCTTGTAACAATTTTCATTTTCATCTCTGTTATCAGTAATTTGCCAGAGTTCTACAATTAAAATGACCTAGATCTACTTTCAGAATGTGATGCAAGAGTTCTGTCGCCTATGTAGTTTTGCAGTTACCCCAAAAATGTACAATGAAACAGCAGGAGGCATAATAGAAGTCCCATCCGACAAAACAACACACCAGGGTATAGCTGTGAGTAAGTCTACACCCACTATACCAGGAAATGGTCATTAGTCTGTCTACCTACCAGTTCTCCCATCTGGGTACCATGACTCATACACTACACCAGGACATGGCTATGAGTCATTCTACCAAGGTGTTTCACCATCAGGGTACCATGACACACACTACACCAGGACATGGCTGTGAGTCAGTCTACCAAGGTGTCCCCCTATCTGGGTACCATGACATACACTTTACCAGGACATGGTTGTTAGTCAGTCTACCAAGGTGTCCCCCTATCTGGGTACCATGACATACACTACACCAGGACATGGCTGTAAGTCAATCTACCAAGGTGTCCCCCTATCTGGGTACCATGACATACACTACACCAGGACATGGTTGTTAGTCAATCTACCAAGGTGTCCCCCTATCTGGGTACCATGACATACACTACACCAGGACATGGTCGTTAGTCAATCTACCAAGGTGTCCCCCTATCTGGGTACCATGACATACACTACACCAGGACATGGCTGTAAGTCAATCTACCAAGGTGTTCCCCTATCTTGGCACCATGACATACACTACACCAGGACATGGTCGTTAGTCAATCTACCAAGGTGTCCCCCTATCTTGGCACCATGACATACACTACACCAGGACATGGTCATTAGTCAGTCTACCAAGGTGTCCCCCTATCTTGGCACCATGACATACACTACACCAGGACATGGTCATTAGTCAGTCTACCAAGGTGTCCCCCTATCTGGGTACCATGACACACACTACACCAGGACATGGTCGCTAGTCAGTCTACCAAGGTGTCCCCCTATCTTGGCACCATGACATACACTACACCATTACATGATCATTAGTCAGTCTACCAAGGTGTCCCCCTATCTGGGTACCATGACACACACTACACCAGGACATGGTTGTTAGTCAGTCTACCAAGGTGTCCCCCTATCTGGGTACCATGACACACACTATACCAGGACATGGTCGTTAGTCAGTCTACCAAGGTGTCCCCCTATCTGGGTACCATGACACACACTATACCAGGACATGGCTGTAAGTGAATCTACCAAGGTGTTCCCCTATCTGGGAACCATGACACACACTACACCAGGACATGGCTGTAAGTCAATCTACCAAGGTGTTCCCCTATCTGGGTACGATGACACACACTACACCAGGACATGGCTGTAAGTCAATCTACCAAGGTGTTCCCCTATCTGGGTACCATGACACACACTACACCAGGACATGGTCGTTAGTCAGTCTACCAAGGCGTTCCCCTATCAGGGTACGATGACACACACTACACCAGGACATGGTCGTTAGTCAGTCTACCAAGGAGTTCTACCATGATGCACTCCACACTCAGCAACCCATGCTTGTCTCCCCCCATGAACATCAGTGTTAGAATTGGTCTTCAGTAACCCATGCTTGTCGTAAGAGGTGACTAATGGGATCAGGCGGTCCAGCGCACTGAATTTGTGGATGTATATAATCTTATACAATTTAAAAGCCCCTATGAAGTCAATAACAGGATTGTCTGGTCCTGGTGGTCCAGACTTGAATATTTACAGACAACCGTCATATCATAAGTGTGGAATAAAAAAACCCCCAAAAACTAAATGTTGTAGAACTCACTTGGCTTCTCAGTATCAGCATCTACGGTGGTCTGCACAAACACGGCAGTGTTGTCTTTGGCCGGCAGGACTTGGCTGCAACACACACACACACCTCAATGTCGAGAGAACTCACAAAATTAGCACATTACAACACATTACGGTCTAGAGAGCATACAAACATTTAATGTAACATAACCCAGAGACCTACAGCTGATTGTTATATCCAGTGTAAATACATCACTAAACTGTTCATTACGTGAAGGATAAGCCATTACTTTCATGGCAAGGACGATCCATTACTTTCATGGCAAGGATGATCCATTACTTTCATGGCAAGGATAAGTCATTACTTTCATGGCAAGGATAAGCCATTACTTTCATGGCAAGGATAAGTCATTACTTTCATGGCAAGGATAGGTCATTACTTTCATGGCACGGATAAGCCATTACTTTCATGGCAAGGATAAGCCATTACTTTCATGGCAAGGATAAGGCATTACTTTCATGGCAAGGATAGGCCATAACTTTCATGGCAAGGATAAGTGATTACTTTCATGGCAAGGATAAGCCATTACTTTCATGGCAAGGATAAGCCATTACTTTCATGGCAAGGATAAGTGATTACTTTCATGGCAAGGATAAGCCATAACTTTCATGGCAAGGATAAGTGATTACTTTCATGGCAAGGATAAGCCAGTACTTTCATGGCAAGGATAAGTCACTACTTTCATGGCAAGGATAAGTCATTACTTTCATGGCAAGGGTAAGCCATTACTTTCATGGCAAGGATAAGTCATTACTTTCATGGCAAGGATAAGCCATTACTTTCATGGCACGGATAAGTCATTACTTTCATGGCAAGGATAAGTCATTACTTTCATGGCAAGGGTAAGCCATTACTTTCATGGCAAGGATAAGTCATTACTTTCATGGCACGGATAAGTCATTACTTTCATGGCAAGGATAAGTGATTACTTTCATGGCAAGGATAAGCCAGTACTTTCATGGCAAGGATAAGTCACTACTTTCATGGCAAGGATAAGTCATTACTTTCATGGCAAGGGTAAGCCATTACTTTCATGGCAAGGATAAGTCATTACTTTCATGGCAAGGATAAGCCATTACTTTCATGGCACGGATAAGTCATTACTTTCATGGCAAGGATAAGTCATTACTTTCATGGCAAGGGTAAGCCATTACTTTCATGGCAAGGATAAGTCATTACTTTCATGGCACGGATAAGTCATTACTTTCATGGCAAGGATAAGTCATTACTTTCATGGCAAGGGTAAGTCATTACTTTCATGGCAAGGATAAGCCATTACTTTCATGGCAAGGATAAGTCACTACTTTCATGGCAAGGGTAATCCATAACTTGATTCATTAGTTTTTATTATAGTCATCATCATGATTAACATTATAATAGTGAAAGGGAACTTACACAATGTCTAACTCTACAGATGGGTCCACTTTAGGTGTCTTCTGCAATGACTCATCATCCTCGGCCTTCTTGGACGGCATTTCAGATGGGTGAGGCTTTATCAGTACAAAATATGCATATATTTGACACATGTTAATCCACACACCAAAGTCAGAGTAGGACCATCGTTGATGGACTTGAAACAAAGCATGGCATGACTTGGCATATTATTCCTGAAAGGAGTGGTTTATGAACGGTACTTTCCTGTTTTTCAAATTCAACTTTCACCAAATATATTTCACATAAGACATTTTCTAAATTACATTTACAGTAGAGAATGTACAGCATGGACGTATACTGGATGAGCCGACTCTGATACACAACACCCCTTCACTCTGATACACAACACCCCTTCACTGTGACACAAAACACCCCCTCACTCTGATACACAACACCCCCTCACTCTGATACAAAACACACTTCACTCTGATACACAACACCCCCTCACTCTGATACACAACACCCCTTCACTCTGATACACAACACCCCCTCACTCTGATACACAACACCCCTTCATAGTGATACACAACACCCCTTCATAGTGATACACAACACCCCTTCACAGTGATACACAACACCCCTTCACAGTGATACACAACACCCACTCACTCTGATACACAACACCCCTTCACTCTGATACACAACACCCCTTCACTCTGATACACAACACCCCTTCACTCTGATACACAACACCCCTTCACAGTGATACACAACACCCCTTCACTCTGATACACAACACCCCTTCACTCTGATACACAACACCCCTTCACTCTGATACACAACACCCCTTCACAGTGATACACAACACCCCCTCACTCTGATACACAACACCCCTTCACTGTGATACACAACACCCCTTCACTCTGACACACAACAACCCCTCACTCTGATACAGAACACCCCTTGACAGTGATACACAACACCCCTTCACAGTGATACACAAAACCCCTTGACAGTGATACACAACACCCCTTCTCTGATACACAACACCCACTCAGTCTGATACACAACACCCCTTCACAGTGATACACAACAACCCTTCAGAGTGATACACAACACCCCCTCACTCTGATACACAACACTCCCTCATAGTGATACACAACACCCAATTCACAGTGATACACAACACCCCTTCACAGTGATACACAACACCCACTCACTCTGATACACAACACCCCTTCACTCTGATACACAACACCCCTTCACTCTGATACACAACACCCCTTCATAGTGATACACAACACCCCTTCACTCTGATACACAACACCCCTTCACTCTGATATACAACACCCCTTCACTCTGATACACAACACCCTTCACTCTGATACACAACACCCCTTCACAGTGATACACAACACCCCCTCACTCTGATACACAACACCCCTTCACTGTGATACACAACACCCCTTCACTCTGACACACAACAACCCCTCACTCTGATACAGAACACCCCTTCACTCTGATACACAACACCCCTTCACTCTGATACACAACACCCCTTCACAGTGATACACAAAACCCCTTCATAGTGATACACAACACCCCTTGACAGTGATACACAACACCCCTTCACTCTGATACACAACACCCCTTCAATGTGATACACAACACCCCTTCACTCTGACACACAACACCCCTTCACAGTGATACACAACACCCCCTCACTCTGATACACAACACCCCTTCACTGTGATACACAACACCCCTTCACTCTGACACACAACACCCCTTCACAGTGATACACAACACCCCCTCACTCTGATACACAACACCCCTTCACTGTGATACACAACACCCCTTCACTCTGACACACAACAACCCCTCACTCTGATACAGAACACCCCTTGACAGTGATACACAACACCCCTTCACAGTGATACACAAAACCCCTTGACAGTGATACACAACACCCCTTCACTATGATACAGAACACCCCCTCACTCTGATACACAACACCCCTTTACAGTGATACACAACACCCCTTCTCTGATACACAACACCCACTCAGTCTGATACAAAACACCCCTTCACAGTGATACACAACAACCCTTCACAGTGATACACAACAACCCTTCAGAGTGATACACAACACCCCTTCACTCTGATACACAACACTCCCTCACAGTGATACACAACACCCCTTCACACTGATACACAACACCCCTTCACTGTGATACACAACACCCCTTCACTGTGATACACACCATCCCCTCACAGTGATACACAACACCCGTTCACTGTGATACACAACACCCCTTCACTGTGATACACAACACCCCTTCACAGTGATACACAACTCCCCTTCACTCTGACACACAACATCCCTTCAGTGATACACAACACCCCTTCACAGTGATATACAACACCCCTTCACTCTGACACACAACATCCCTTCACTGATACACAACACCCCTTCACTGATACACAACACCAAGACTCCATCCCTCCCACTGGGGCACCATGACCCCATCCTTTAACATGTTTTCCCTGATACACAAGAGGCCATGCTCACCTCTTCCTTGGGAAACTTGTGTTGATACAGATAGAACACATTGTAGAGGTCAATTTCTTTCTGCATGTTGTACTGGTCAAGGCAGGAGATTCCTTCTTCAAACAAGGGCTCCAATATCTCATGCCTAGAGGTAGAAATAATTTCACAATATTGTTGATGATCATGTGAGCAGTGATCCCATGCCATGTGAATATGATGTTGCTCCTAGACATAACCCTTTCAAGTACCATTTATTTCAGAACTGATGTCTATATTTTTGGTGAACATATGGAAGTATAAGTGAAAAGCATTGGTGAATTTACCTTTGTTTGTTTGGTTTTGTTTGTTGTTTAACGCTGCGCTCATCAATATTCCAGCTATATGACGGCGGTCTGTAAATATTTGAGTCTGGACCAGACAGTCCAGTGATTGACATCATGAGCATAGATCCATGCAATTGGAATACGATGACATGCATCAACCAATTCAGCAAGCCTGACCACCCGATCCTGTTAGTCACTTCTTACGACAAGCATGGGTTGCTTAAGATCTATTTTATCCCGGAACTTCACGGATCCACTGTGGACATGTTAGCGTATGTGCCCAGTAGATTGCATTGTGAGAAAATAATCACCAGATCACAATGCTACAAACAGTAGCAAAATGATCTCAAAAGTGACCCGTAACTTAGAACCATGAGTGAGTGAGTTGGTGCTTAACCTGCTTTTAGCAATATTCCAGCAATATCATGGTGGTCTAGTACCATGAACTAGTGAATGTGCCAGCTTCTAATATCTACCTCTGGGTTTCAACTGTTTTACTGCATTGCATCATCGCAGTCATCACATCCTGCAGCTTTTGAAGCCTAGCCCTCTCGTAAGCATCAGAATCATTCTGGTATCTTTTCATATCCTGAAATAAGCAGAAAGATCATGTTGCTAGCAGTAAAACGTGAAAATGAAGCGATCTCATTAGAGATATTGCTTGTGTGAGATCATGCGTCAAGGAGATATCGCTACAATGAATTGCATCACAATGCTTTCCAGACCTTTGTATTTCACCAGTTCCCAGAATCAAATAACATCACTAATCACTTAAGCTGGTTAGCTGTACCTTTTACACTCAAGACATTGGTTATTACGGTTTACAAACTGAGCAAATTGAAAGAATGACTGTGGACGATAAATAGAATCACAACCTTGTGTCTTTTGATACGAAACATATCAACACTCGTCGATAACAGTTCAAAACTTCTTTCTTTGCAAACCTCAGAGTTTAAATCTTTTATTAACTTGTGTTGATATACTTGAGATCACAAGACACTCGGATCTCTATGTATATCTTCCTCCTGCTATTAAACCTGAATTGTTGCTATAAAACCAAAATATTGCAAACGCAAAATCCAGGGATTTAGCTAAAATTTTAAACTAAGTGCCCCTGGCAGGCAATTTAGGAAAGGATTGTTATTTTGTTCAATATTGGATTTTTTTAAAGTTCCTATTTTCTTAAAATCAGAGATATTTTAACATTGTATTTAGAGATTGAATTCAATCTAATGATATAAATTAAGCATTAAAACCTCTTCATCTTCACTGGTCCTGTTACCAGTGACAATAGGCTACCTCCACAAAGCCATAATTAGTTATTACATGAATTGGGAAATATATAATTCAAATTTAGGATTTTTTCAATGACATTTGTTGGAGACTTGAGACCGGATAAATCCCTGTTCTACATTGTATCAATATAAAATATGCACTTTAATAATACTAGGACTAGTCCCTACTTCTATGAAAGTCGTTCGTGTAGATTTTTCCTTTTGCAGTTTTTGTCTGTAGGACGTCTTAGCCCCATCAACGTCAGCCTCCAGTTTCCTCCAGTGAGCCAAGAGTTCCCTAAAGTTTGTGTGAGGGTCCTGGCGAATTTGGGCTGCATCCATCTGAGGCTTGAAGTGAACCATCTTGTCCTTGGTCAGGAAAAAGTCCTGTGAAAGTATGGGAGCAAAAAACTGAGGAATGAACATTTCATAACAGAAACTGTCACATCAAATACCACTTCAAGTAAATGGGTGAGTTACTTACCAAAAGGTTCAAGCTAGATGAACACTCAAGTACGTACAATGCAAATACTGGAGTGTTCATCTAACTTGAACCTCAAGGTTAGGAACTGTCTTACACACTGACAGAAGAAGTCAACTTTCACGTTTCTTCTGTTGGAGTGAGTGAGTGAGTTGGGTTTAACGCCGCTTTTAACAGTATCACAGTTAATGTGGGAGGAAAGCCCAAAGTGATGCAGGCCTCGGGCGTTTACCACTTCAGTGAAACCCACGAACACGGGTATGGTGCTGACAAACCTAGAAACATAATCGGGGCGAGCCGGGATTCGAACCCACAATCATAGATTTCTGGCGTGCCCAAGGGATGCAACTCTGTGAATCGCGGCGCCTTAGTCTGTCATGAAGAATAATACTTTTATTGACAAATATATGTCATTTTGTACAAATTCAAGGTTATTTCTAGCAATGTGGGTGATGTTCAAGGCTAATCAAGGTTGACACTAAAAATCAAGGCTTTTTCAAGGGACCTTTTGAAGCCTGTATGAACCTTGAGAAAACATGTAAATGAATACCTGGACATGTGCAACTTTTATTGTAAGACAGTTATTAACACATGTGACAAACACTTAAAAGCAAGAAATGTTTGTTTGTTGTTTAACGCTGCACTCAACAATATTCCAGCCATAGGAAGTCGGTCTGTAAATAATCAAGTCTGGACTAGACAATCCAGTGATTGACATCATGAGCATTGATCCACGCAATTGGGATACAATGACATGCATCAACCAAGTCAGTGAGCCTGACCACCGGATCCTGTTAGTCGCCTTTTACGGCAAGCATGGTTTGCTGAAGACCTATTCTACCCCAGATCTTCACGGGCCCATTAGTCGTTGGATACGACTGGAATGTTGGTGTTTTGATCAATGGGATGAAACAAGGACTGGTTGGCTCAGAGTAGGAGTGGGGGTATCTCGGTGGGCTAGCACAATAAAACCGGCATTAGTCCAGACTAGTACAAGTAGCCACAAACACACCTGAGTAGTACAAGTTGTCACACACACTCCGGACTAGTACAAATTGCAACAGACACTCCGGACTAGTACAAATTGCAACAGACACTCCGGACTAGTACAAGTAGCCACACGAATTCCGGACTAGTACAAATTGAAACAGACGGTCTGGACTAGTACAAGTAGCCACACACACTCCGGACTAGTACAAGTAGCCATAGAAGTAGCCACACACACTCCGGACTAATACAAGTTGCCACAGACACTCTGGACTAGTACAAGTAGCCACACACACTCCGAACTAGTTCAAGTAGCCATAGAATAGCCACACACACTGCAGACATGTACAAGTAGCCACATGCACACATCCGCAAGCAACATACATTCGAGTGAGCCCACACGTACACACACTCAGACACACACTCAGACACACATCATCACCATGCAGAGATAAGGACTTGGGAGAAATAATCCTTGATACCTCATAGCTGATTGGTCATTACCAAAATCAGTCATATACAAAAACAATCACCTCTTTCAGCTGGTCAATCTCCTTCTCCACCTTGACCTGGCTCTTCCTTGCCCTCTCATACAGAAACTGAATAGCCTTCCTTTTAGCAATAACCTCTTCTGAGTTGATGTAGCTGAGATGAAGATGAGGATCATGAACATTTCTCCATCTGAGTCTTCCAAACTTTTACAATTTGTCACACATATTTTTCTCAATTTATAACATAGCTTTTTTTTGTTTGTTTAATGCCACATTCAGCAATATTCCAGCTATATGACATCAGTCTGTAAATAATCAAATCTGGATCATTCATTCCAGTGATTGACATGATGAGTAGGGCTGGTGATTTAGATCGATAATCGTAATTATCATCGATGGAAGAAGGTTGTGACGATTATCGATATGAATATAATGCTATCGATAATGACATGTATTTTTTCGACAAATAAAAGTTTTTACTGCAACACATTTGACTTATTTGTTTTGCTGTCCTTGTAATTATCGCTAGATATAAACAGATTCACCCTAACATACAGTTTTCTCCCCTTCGCTTTATGTTTAGTCGCAAATAATAATCAAATGTTTCAAAAAGTAAAAAGTTCTGCTTTGAATCGAACGACGACGCCATTACGTGTTGTTAGTGGGTAATTACAAATGTAGTCACTGGCATCTAAATGCGGAGTCAGGATTTTAGAAAATATGTATATTTTTGAAATAGTATGAAGTATCATGATTAAAATAGGTTTCATAATACTTTAATTCTTAAAAAGAATTCTTCCCATTCTATTTCATAAAATTTCAAATTTTATGTCTATTTGGTAACTACGTATTCCAGTCTGTTTCGATTTTTTCAATGATCATAGTTTTCGTTTTTCCCAGTATTCTGAACTCACAGCCCACGTGAGGTCCACGTGGGGTTTGACATTTTTACGATATGGCAGCAAAAATTCCTAATTTCGCCGTTATAATCGCACGATGTTTGTTTAATATCAGTCTGCCACCCAATCGATTACGTATCACACCTGTGAACCTAGTACAACCTACTAAGTAACACACACCTGTACACACCTGACATTCACAATGGCGGAATATTTGATGATTTTTTATCTGAATAGTTTCGTGAATACTGTACATAAATGACAAACGACTATATCAGGTGAAATTACATTTAATTTCTCAATTACAGTATTTTCTTGAGTACAGTGCGCACCCATGTATAATGCGCACCCCCCTCTAGCGGGTTCAATATTTTGGAAAAAAAAGAAATTTGAATATTATGCGCAGAAAAAAATTACACCGTACCCTTTCAGCGAAGTCCGGCACACGAACGGGTGATGAGAAACTTCGTCAGTACAAATTCGAAATTTGAGATAAAAAATCACCAGACATGTTTATTTACCGTTTAAATAGTATTTACTGTTCTGCTAGGCATTGTTTTATATCCTGGGATTAAGATTACCTTGTGTAATTTCTCGTAAACTAAGCCGGAAACAGCAATCAGCTGTACACACGTTTTCTTGGAATCGACCGGTGATTCGGTCAAGACACACCCAATGATATAACTTAATAGGATTTTTAATGCAAGGATCGGCAAAAATTGTATATGAAACTATTTTTTTTATCAAGAATAATATATTCCAATATTTTCTTAATTATATGCAGCCTTTACTAAACATATTTAAAATAGATAATAACCCTAAGCGAAGCAGCTGATCGCTATTCCCGGGTATTATTTTTTACATGGACCCAGTCTGACCAGTCACCGTCAAGGCTCACGCGCACGTGATCGGGAGAATTTCATGTTGACATAGAATCGTCAAACAAAAACAAATATGACTTTTAACAAGTCAAATTATGTCATTTATGTTATATGTATCCATTCTCTGTCAACTAAAGTTCGTTTCAAGACGTCAATAGCGGTATTCTGACCGTGGTTGCTGTTAATAACGGTGAGTTGTGCGATCTTCCGATCGCTTCACACACGATTTCGCCGAAATTAATAAAAACAATATTAAAAGGAATACTCAAGAAAATACGGTATTCTCACTTTATACAAATAATAATTGTCTTTGACGACATGAATCTTAAACTCAGATTGTTCATCGCTAAAAATGCGATGTAACGTGCGTATTGTTGAAACACTGAGCATGCTGAGTCTCCGGAGAAGTGAATTGCCATTTTTCTGTAATGTCATTTTACCAAAATAGAATTCTTTGATATTTATCGATTATTGATCGATATGTGACTACCGATAATCGATCTGAGTAATCCATATCGATAACCAGCCCTAATGATGAGCATCGATCTACACAATTGGGATACGATGGCATGCATCAAACAAGTCAGTGAGCCTGACCACCTGATCCCGTTAGTCACCTTTTATGGCAAGCATGGGTTGCTGAAGACCAATTCTAAACCAGATCTTCACGGGTAACATAGCTCTTCACTTGACATGTTCAGTCAGCAACAGTAAAATAACCTGAGAAGACATCAAGTTAAGCTGCCCCTCAGTCCGATTATTGTTAAAGGTTTAATCTGTCAGCAGAGTTACTTTTTTTTAGCAGTTTGCCATATATCGAAAGAATGGGTTTAACAAGCTTGATTGGTTGGTTGGTTTGTTGTAAAACGCCGCACTCAACAATATTCCAGCTATATGAGGCGGTCTGTAAATAATCCAGTCTGGACCAGACAATCCAGTGATTGATATCATGAGCATCGAGCCAGGCAATTGGGATCGATGACATGCATCAACCAAGTCTGCGAGCCTGACGACCCGATCCCGTTAGTCGCCTTTTACGACAAGGATAGTCCTCTTTTACGGCAAGCATGGGTTGCTGAAGACCTATTCTACCCCGGAATCTTCTTGGGTCTTAACAAGCTTGAAATACCTTCCGATAATAATCAAATATGCATGCTATCATTATTCCCACATATTCTTATCATTTAGGCAAATGTTGAGAGAAAAAAGTCAAATGTTTTCCCTAATTACAGCATGTTTACAATGATCAGGCATGGACCAAGCAATTACAAGCATGTTTACCTCAGTCAAATCCTCTATACCTATCCCACAGCGGACTCATTATACTTACTCTTGAAGGTTCCTGAGAGGGCCGTCTTGGGCATACATGGTGTCTAATAATTTGTTGTGCAAGTCTTGCTTCTCCTTGTAAGTGGCCATCCAGATTTTCATGAGAGAATTGACTTCATCATAAGCCAGGTTGCTTCCTGTTTGTACACAGAAACCAAAATGTAGCTTCTCATGACACCTTTCACTGGTTGAAATCTATTGTTGCTAACTGGACATAACCAGATTCAGCAAAGCTCCAATAGACAAGCCTTTTATTTTTTATTAGAAACTTTGCAAACATTTTTGCCTAAATATCACTGTAGGCAGTCAGAGTAGTACTTGTAGGTCATACCATCACTGAAGTAAAATTGCGTAACGATATCAACAGATAATTGATGTTTTGTTGCTGTTAGAATAAAGATTTGTATACCTATCATTCACAATTTCTTATGAAAAACAGTGATTTTTTTCATTTCACCTATTTATAAAACAGTTGCCCCAAATAAATACTGTCAAAAGACATTTTTGTTCCTTTCTAATTTCAGGTATTTTTGGTCGGTCAGTCTAGTAAACCAACAACAAAAATTATACAGCCCAAGCATGGAATTGTCTTAGCCACTCTTTGAAATAATTTTAAAACCATACAAGACAGACGGGCAGGTAGGTGGTCGAAAATTTCCTGCAGCCAAAAAGGAAAGTTATCAGCCACGGGCAGGCAGGCAGGCAGTTATTTCGGACACTGGTCTCAGCTCTGATATTCCCATATGAATGGAAGTCCAACAATACTAGCATGACAAGATTTAACAAGATGCAAAATGAGGTCAATTTGATGTCAGAGATTGAGCTTGTGAGGTCAAACTTAAAGGTCAAAAGTGAACCAAAAAAGACTTTGTTTTGCCATGATAGATAAAGAGTTTGTATTCCCTTAAAGGTAAACATTTTTTTTAAAAACACTGTAATCAGTATTGTTGAATCTTGTATGATGACCCGGAATAGCAACCATGCTGTCTTACATTGCTCTGTGCACTACCTGTGATTTAGCAAACTTTAATTTACCACAATTAATACTCTCTGACATGTTGTTATTCTTATGTTGCATTTTGTGGGCATCTATCGATGCTCACTCCAGAAATACTAGATGGGATACAGGCAAACCAATGTAATCCTAAACATGACAGATACCCTCAGACAATAGTAATACTTGTTAATGCATATATCACAAAATGTAAGATGACTTTTTTATGCATAAACTGCCTCCATGGTCTAGTGGATAGAACATCGACCAGGAGAGTGGAAGGTCGGTTGTTCGATACCCAGCTACACCATACCAAAATATGCTGAGTCAGTATACTGTGTCTGAGTGGAGTATTGAAACTCCGGCATGGTATCTCAGTGGGCTAGTAGTATAAAACTTACGAGTATCAGCCAGATTTATCTTAGCTAAGATCGTTTCGAAAATCTAGGCCCTGGTATAAGTAGCCCCACACATGCATGCACAGACGGTTGCCACTATATCAGTGCAATATTCTTGAGGTTAAACCCCAGTTCACCTCAGCATGTGATGTATAAACCAAACTGTTATTGGCACAAACAGTAACATTAGTGAGTGGGAGTGAGTATGTTTATAAACTTGAGCCAAGCCAAATCACAGAGAGTGACACAAGAATGAGATTCACAAGTTCACATATCATGCATATTGTATATCAAAGTGGCAAATTGTAGCCTAGGGATGAGGCGTGCCAATACTACAACTACGAGCAAGGCAACCCTACCCCAGAAACATTGACATGAATAATCAAGGACATATCAGTATATGCATCGACATGAGTGATATGTTAAATCAGCATAAAGCGACGCTTACCAATTTGGGCAAGGGCTCTGTCCTTCCACTTTACTACAAACTCATCGTAGATTTGGCCAACTTTCTTCTCCATTTTTGCATGGTCCTTAAGAAGTTTATGGAGATTAACCATTGAACTGAAAATATAAACATAATGACTGATTTGAAGGTAACATTTCAATGTTAATACTAAATTTGAAAAGAACAACTCTTATCCGGAAAACGGGCACAATCCATTAGTAAGATGAGTCAGACAATCAGAGTGTCATCTTCCCGAGACAAGGGAGTTAATTGACTACAAAAATCCAGTTTCCACTCTTGCCGAACTAGGCTTGAATTATAGAATTAACAAGTCTATGCATAGTCCAGTCAAAATCTTGTAACAAAATTGACATCTGGTTTGTAAACAGATGTGTAGAATCTGATTGGTCAATAGGAGGGACATAGAAGGGATATAACTCGTAATAGCCACTGGTGATGCAACGATGATCGCAGTTCGGCAAGGGTGGAAACTGGACTGTTATAGTGAGTTAACTCTCTTGCCCCCTGAAGATGTAGGAGCGAGTATGTCTTTTGTGTCCTCCAGGTGACTGAGGGATTAGAAATGAAACCTCGCTTCTTCATGACACCACCCCACAGAGTTCCATGATATCTTATTAAATCTTATGGTCTCACGCGGTAATTTGTATTCATGTCATCATTGTAGATCAAGCATCTTAAGTAAATTTAGGTCTCTATGTTACTTTAGGATTGACTGTGTATATTATCAGTTCACTGAGGTATGAATCGAAAAACCGATGTGCAAACTGTATGAATCCGCATAGCGGATTCTTACAAAAGCTTGCTCATTGATTTTTTTATTCATACCTCAATGAACCGAAAAACATACACAGTCAATGCTTATAATTAAATTCAACAATGTAAAACATGCTTTATCTACAAAAGTTTAACCAAAAACAGTTGTATATCCAAACAGACAAAAATGACGAGATTGATAAACATTCCAGGTGTAGGAATACATACTGTGGGGTAACATGAATCAGGTGATCGTTTAATGTATACACAGTCAGTAGCCAATCAACGGAGAGCAGGATCAAAACAATGTTCATTGGACCTGTCAATCAAGGAAAGAGGCGAAAAGAACTGCAACAGTCAGACTGTAACGAACGGGAAGAAATATGTCCAGGAGAAGGCGGCTGTTTCAAATAACATGGTCAGTTACCACCCGACTCAAACATTACTTCCCTGATTATGGTAAAACACAGTAGGAAAAATGCTGGTCAGAAATGAAACCCGAAGACATGAAAGTTGAATCGAGGCGAGCGGGAAAAAAACAGGCAAGTGAGCCTGCACGTTTGCTGTTACATTCATTCTCGGCCTTCGGTTTCAAAGGGTAGTTTGGACAATGATTATGCATGAAAGTCGCTAAATGTCCTGTGCATGAGAATACACGTGAGCAGAAAGGGAATTCCCTCGACTGTAATATTGGGGTTCCCCGACATTCCGCAGTAATGAAAGTAGTGCGCCTCGGTGGGCGTGGCTTAATTTTTTACATTCATTGGGAAGTGAATGCAATAACACGTGACCAGTTCAGCTAATCAGAATGCAGGAATTTCAATGAACACAACGAAAAATTAATTATTCGACATTGAAATTATAGATGAATATCAAGGGGTCCTTTTCTTATGTATTTCATGATTGTGTCATGAAAATTAATTGTTGGCCATAAAATGGAATAGTATAAAGCATACAGAGAACTCATTGGAGAGAGCAAAGATGAAATATTTTATCATATACTATTAATACGACTGCCTCCATGGTCTAGTGGTACAGCATTCACCTGGAGAGTGGAAGGTCAAGAGGTGATCCCAGGCTGTGTCATACCAAAAGACATTACAAAGATGGTATTTGTTGTTACCCTGCCTGATGCTCGGCATTAAGGGGCTAAAACAAGGAGTGCATGGAATCTCAGTGGGGTAGCACCCTAAAATTGGCTTAAGTCCGGTCAAGTACAAGCTCTCACACACACACATGCACGCACACACACTGTACACAAGTTAATAGAAGAAAGTAATTGAGTTTTGAATATTTTTTTGGGGGGGATGGGTATTTTACGCAAATCTGTAGCGTGTGCATGCATGTCGCTATATCAGTGCAATAATCTTGGATGCAACATTAAACCAGGTATTGCTTTAACTGCTGGCCCATTGGCCCGTGGCCAGTTAAAATTACAAAGGGCTTGCTGAAACATAAAGAATATGGCCCATCTGGCTAGTCAGTTTCACCCCTTCTCCAAGCATGTTTAATTTTTTTAATTGGACACTACTCGTGAATGTGAATGTGAATGTGAGGTAATATTGATGAGAAAATATTTGTGGAGGATGAGATATATGCCAATCATCTCGGTAGAATGACAACCGCCATTTTGTAATGTTGTGTACAACAACATCTTTAGTTGCTCATCAATCACCCCAAAATAAGGCAAACGGAAGCCAAGATTTAATCTCAGAGTGCAGGTAAAGACGTTTCAGGGGTGAGGAGTTCAAAATTTCACAATCTCATTAAAATCAGATCTTAGTTTTCGCTACCGCTAAACAAAGATCTGAGGACATCCCATTACGGGTCAATTTTAATGAGATTGAAATTTTCAAAGCCCAGCTTGGTGGCTACATAACCACAGGTTCAGCCACTTCATTGCCTCCACCATTTATATGTAGGCCAGTTAGTCTGGAGAAGGGCCAGTAATTTTTAAAAAGAGCAAAATTGGTTGCTAAATCTACCCCTGTAAACCCCATTTCACCTCACCTCACATACTAATACACAGCAGTCGGTGCAAACACCACAAGTCTGAACTGACCACCTGACAATATATTGTAGTGTTAACAAAGGGACAAGTATTAGCCGTGTCTACTAGACTAAGGTTTTCAACTAATAGCAGACTGTACACAATGTTTTTGGATGTGTTCAGTGCCAATATAATATCCCTAATAAACTGCATTCTTGTGCATAATAATGAAAATTAATTAACTGAAAAAATATATGTACCATATTCGACGTAATAAGCGCCCCACTCTAATAAGCGCCCATGGCTATATTTGCTAATATATTGGCTAGAGAACAATCCCAATTAGCACCCCTTCCGATTGATCAATGTACACAAGACTTATTTATTCGTGTATAATACGCACTCGTGTGTTATATGCACCCTTAATTATGGGCAATTAAATTCTGGAAAAGTATATCTGTCGTATCTAAACATTTCAGGCTGTCAGCATGAACCACAAAATTTATCTTTCAACTCTGTTTTTTCACCAAAATAATATTCTAATAAGAGCCCCCTATTTCTAATTTTGAGAGCGCCTTGGGCCCTTATTACGTCGATTACGGTATATTAGTTCCCATTTATAACCATTTAAGCCACTTGAATTACGAAAAAAAGGAAATAAAAATATATTGATAAATAAAAGTGCTCTCATAAACTAGCGCTTGCTATAAAATGTGCGGCAGCAGGCTATATTTAGTAAACAAATATTCAAAACTTTCAACATTGCTGGGCGTATTAATTGACATTGCATGTTGAGATGATAGATCACTGGGAGGAGCTTATGCACACTTGATGACCCCTGACATCACAGGGCATTGTTTTGCTGGTGCGAATGGCAACAAAATACTACAAATTACATCATAGGGTATAGTCATGTGTTTGAAAAGTTTGTAGTACTGTATTCTAAAGGTAGGGCACCACTTGTATACAACTCCTTTAAATACCCAAACAACTTAGGGCCTAGCCTACAGCAATAAAAGGCCAAGGAAAAAATAATACTTGTGTTTCAGGTAACATGGACAAATAAGTAGACTTCTCTGGTGGTTGGCAGTTTTTTTTTTCTTGAATATATTTTGAAATAATGTTAAACATAGACTCAAAACATCCCCAAAATATTTCTAGTGTAAAATATGGTTTCTTGATGGCTGTTTCTAACCATGAAAAAAAACATGTTTGAGACCATACTTTTCATGTCCAGCTCATTTTTAGGGTCCTTCTTGCTAAAAAATGCCTCCTAACGGATTTCGTCACCTTAGTGAGTGCACGCTTATATAAGCAAAACTCCCGAAGAGGGGACCCAAATACTGCAGTTGACCCTTTGTTTGTTGTTTAGCGTTGCACTTAGCAATATTCAAGCAACATAACTATGGTATGTAATTTTTTGTTTGTTTGTTTGTTGTTTAACCTGGCACTCAGCAATATGCCAGCTATATGACAGCAGTCTGGACCCGACAATCCAGTGATTGGTATCATGGGCATTGACCCAAGCAATTGGGATACGATGACCTGCATCAACCAAGTCAGCGAGCCTGACCACCCGATCCCATTAGTCTCGTCTGGACAAAACAATTCAGTTATTGACAACATGAGTATTGATCTACGCAACTTGTGGTGGTACATATGTATGTGGATGTATGTGTGTGTGTGTGTGTGTGTGTGTGTGTGTGTGTGTGTGATCGTAAGATACATGGGTCAATAAATGCTGGAATAAAATATGTTTGTGAAAAGAGCTACGAATTCCTGTGGTTACTATACAGAACGAGTTTGCTTCCAAAACCTGAGATACAATGGAGGTAGGTCTCTGACATCACCGATCATGTCATATAAGCTAATAAAAAACACCAGTTGCAGAGTATTACAACAATCAAATCTCGACCCAATCTTAATTGTATCTTCGATCTTCACAACAGCTGATCATTGTCTTGTGACAAGACGAGCAGCAAGTCAATATCAGAACGGGCCCAGTTTAGTTCATTTAAAATCAGTAACATTATAATATTTACCTTTGTCCACGTGTAAATCTTTGGAGCGATGCTTCTGTCGACGCATGAAAGCATTCAGGCAGTTCCATGTCTTGATAAGTCTTAGCCATGTTTGATTTTTTGCGCCCTTCTGACTCCATAATCCTTTCCTTTCAGACGCTCTGGGGATAATGAGCCGTCGCTAGGGCGCGTCACCGGAGGCAGGCATTTTGATTGGCTGAACCCTGCTCCTCACATCGATAGCGCGGAAGCAAAAGTTACACGCGCTGTTAAGGAGCCTGGGGAAAGACCCCTGCATGAACTGGTGGGTGGAAGTCCGACAACCGTCTTCTATAAGCTGCCACGAGCACACGTAGGACCAACTTGGAATTGCGGCTTAATATTGTGCGCTAAATCGCACAGTCTAACACAAGCGCCATTCACGAAATATCGCGATTATTAATTAACGAAGATTGAGTGAGTATGGTTTTACGCCGCTTTTAGAAATATTCCAGCAATATCACGGCGGGGTACACCAGAAATGGGCTTCACACATTGTACCCTTGTGGGGAATCGAACCCGGGCCTACGGCGTGACGAGCCAACGCTTTAACCGTCGTCTACTCCATCGCCCCGTGATACACGAAGCAAGCTGCTCGTGCGCTTATACTTATTCCGGCGATAAGGAATATTACTTAATGTCATGACAAAACTGGCAAAGCTCGCTTTTCAAGAACTAGATCTATCCATTTTGCTTGCGATAAACATAATCACCACGTGGTTAGTAATCGGGTCATGGTCGACATGCAGTCAAGTATATGTTTCAAACATACTTTCCATGAATCTTAGGAAACGGACGTAAAATATCTCTTGCTTCGTCGTCTTAGGCGCTGCGATTCGCTGTGCAGAGTTGCGTCCCTTGGGCACGCCAGAAACCTATGATTGTGGGTTCGAATTCCGGTTCGCCCCGATTATGTTTCTAGGTTTGTCAGCACCATACCCGTGCTCGTGGGTTTCACCGAAGTGGTAAACGTCTGAGACCTGCATCACTTCGGGCTTTCCTCCCACGTTAAGCTGACACGCCGCGATATAACTGGAATATTGTTAAAAGCGGCGTTAAACCCAACTCACTTACTCACTCACTCATAGAAACGCGGACCAAGGCCAGAATAAACTTGGCAATTAATTCTTTGCGGACAGAATGCTTTCAGTCATACGCTGAAAGGAGGGGGAACATTATTTTACAACACATTTTCTTGAATACATTTAGACAATGTTTTTTGGAAACCTCGAGTCAAAAATATTTTTCAGTATTATCTCGAACACGTTTGTTTCTTTAATTAAACGCCGGACACAGACTATCAAACGGTCGGCCTCTAACCTTTTGTTTCTTTGTTGTTTCACGCTGCACTCGGTAATATAAAATTATACACCAGCTATGTGACGGCGGTCTGCACATAATCAAGACAAGTCAACCCAGTGATCGACATCATGAGCACCGATCTACGAAGCTGGTGCCCGCGCAAAGAGGTATACGTCTCAGACTTGCATAACTTCGGGCTTTTCTCAAACATCCAGCTGACATCCCGTGATATTACGGGGATACTGTTCAAAGTGACGTTAAACCAAAACGCACTCACTTATCTCTCTTGAGGTTGGTTGGTTGGTTTGTTCAGGAATATTCCAGCTACATGACGGCGGTCTGTTAATAATCGAGTCTGGACCAGACAATCCTGTGATTAATATCATGAGCATCGAACCACGCAATTGTAATCGATGACATGCATCAACAAAGTCAGCGAGCCTGACCACCCGATCCCGTTAGTCGCCTTTTACGACAAGCATAGTCACCTTTTACGGCAAGCATGGGTTGCTGAAGACCTATTCTACCCCGGAATCTTCACGGGTCTCTCTCTTGAGGGGATTCCGTGTAAGAATTTATCCCCAGCACAGGGTAATGACTGTAATTCATCGAGTCTGAACCAGACAATCCAGTGATCGATATTGTGATCCACGATCTCCGCACTCGGGACATGAGGACAAGCAATCAACCAAGTCACAGAGCCTGACCACCCGATCCATTTAGTCGCCTCTTTCCACAAGCATAGGTCGCTTGGGAAATATAATCTTTCCCAGAATCAGGGAACATATACAGTCTCGGTCCGTAAAAGGCGACCATGCTAACGGTCAGGCTCGCTGACTTTGTTGATGCATGTCATCGATCCCAATTGCGTGGATCGATGCACATGATATCAATCACTGGGTCGCTGGTCCAGACGCGATTATTTACAGACCTCCGTCATATAGCTGGAATATTGCTGAATGCGGCGTTAAATAACAAACCAACCAACCAGCAGGAGCCCCTAATACTCAACGCTCATGCGTTTACGACTGAACCAGACACAATTCGCTTTGTTGTTCGTTTAAACACCGATGACAGGAAATTCTCCGTCTATCCATCTGCGCAGAGGGACTTATAAGGAAGTGAGGAATAACGGACATCAGGAAGTGTACGATCGACATATAGTCATCTGCGTCAGTCACTCACGGACCATCACCGCAATTTGTTAAGGCTTTCAACACCAGAGCTAAGTAAAATGGAACTAACACTTCTCTTGCTTACGGCGATGTTTCAACATATTACTGGACAATCGGGTAAATACGTTCTTGTTTGTTTTCTTTTATACTTTTGTCAGTGGGGAAGATGAGATGTTTGAAGAAACCATATGATTTAATTGTTAGAAAGGTGCAAGTGCAATTACTATCTTCAATATACATATAATATATAAGATCCGGGTTGGAATTTGTCTTCAGCAACCCATGCTTGCCGTAAAAGGCGACTATGCTTGTTGTAAGAGGCGACAAACGGGATCGGGTGGTCAGCCTCGCTGACTTGGTTGATGCATGTCATCGTATCCCTATTGCATGGATCGATGCTCATGATATCTATCGCTGGATTGTCTGGTCCAGACTCGGTTATTAACAACCCGCCATCATATAGCTGGAATATTGCTGAGTGTGGCCTTAAACAACCAACCAACAAAAAATGTCTGTCGTATGCATTTAATACATGCAATTGATCTTGACGGGACACATTAACTACCTAATTTAAGAAATTATCCAATGTTGACAGTGATGGTATTGTTTGATAGTGATTCATAAACACATGATTATGATGTAGTCCGATTCGTACAATGGACAATAGATATGATGTGGAAATGGTTTGGTCGCTTATAGTAGGGCGTCATTGTACACGAACGGTACAAGTACATTAAACAGGGATTTTCACAAAGAATTGCTAATGCGTGCTCATTAGCTTGGATCTAAATATTTTATTGAGTTGTGACTCTTTGCAAGAAGAAAATGACGAAACATATATTTCAACATTCATTTGAAACATTGGCGACCGGGTGACAGATAAGTGAGTGAGTTTGGTTTTACGCCGCTTTTAGCAATATTTCAGCAATATCACGGCGGGGGACACCAGAAATGGGCTTCACACATTGTACCCATGTCGGGATTCGAACCCGGGTCTTCGGCGTGACGAGCGAACGCTTTAACCACTAGGCTACCCGACCGCCCCTGGGTGACAGATAAGCCATGTTCCCGAAGAAAAGGCGTTATCTGACTATAGAAGCCCAGTTTCAGGCTTGATCGTAGCGACACAAGTGGCTTTTACACGTCATGTCCCTTCTATGTCGTTCCTCTTGACCACATTTCTTGTGTCTCCCGCCGTGATATTGCTGGAATATTGCTTAAAGCGGCGTAAAACCATACTCACACACTCCTCTTGACCAAAAAGATTGTTTACGAACCGGATGTCTAGTTCGATTTTGATTGGACTATGCATAGACTCGTTAGTCCAGCCAAAATGTAACTCCGGAATTCTGGACATTTTAAGTCAGTTAACGCCCTTGCCTCGGGAAGATGCAGATGCACATTCCATGGCACCCGGCATCCGGCATCCGGAATACCGCTTAACAGGGCTTGTCATCCGGAGTACCGAAGAGAGAGAGAGAGAGAGAGAGAGAGAGAGAGAGTTCTACTCTGTCATACTGACCCTGAAATAAATATTTCCAATACAGCCCATGCAAGTCTATAATCATATGTTTGGCAAGTCTAGATTACTACAGTATCTGAAATGAAGAAAGTCTCTCGGCTCCTTTTTGTTATATTTTAAAACTATTATTTAACAAATGTTTCTTCGGTAAAATATACTCATTTCAGAGACAAGATGTTAGTCTACTTCGACTGTATTTAAGGGTGTTTCTTTTATTACCGAAATTAGTTAAATGATCGCCGGAAAGTACATGAAACCGTTCTCAAAATTTTAATTATGAAATTTTATCTCCAACCATAAATAAGATAAAATCTATAATTATTACTTTTCTTATTGAAGGGCACGTCATCACGCTGTCAGCCGATCCTGGGCAGATACTAATAGGAGGCAGTTATCCAACTCCACAGCTGACCGTGAACTGTTCAGTTAAGACAGTAGCTGCATCAAACATAACACGTCTCAATGAAATCATGATCGGAAGGGTCTATGGAAGAAGGCGTGACATCCAGCCTATAGTAACAGCAACCAATTCGTCGCCTGTAGTGCACGAAACAGGTCTGCAGTCGCGCCTCACAGCGACTGGATCGTTCAGCGCTACCACTGGCTATCTACAGATTGTTCTCACACAGCTCGAGTGCTCAAGCGCTTTTGCCTACTCCTGTGCATCCCGTTTCGAGCTTGGCCCTGTCAACGGAAACGATCAGGTCACTGTGAACGTGTCAATCATAAGTATGTATTACCCACATAAGTGAGTTGTTGGTTTGGTTGGTTTGTTTGTTGTCTTACGCCGCACTCAGCAATACTCCAGCTATATGGGGGCGGTCGGGTAGCCTAGTGGTTAAAGCGTTCGCTCGTCACGCCGAAGACCCGGGTTCGATTCCCGACATGGGTACAATGTGTGAAGCCCATTTCTGGTGTCCCCCGCCGTGATATTGCTGGAATATTGCTAAAAGCGGCGTAAAACCAAACTCACTCACTCACTCACTCCAGCTATATGATGGCGGCCTGTAAATAATCGAGTTTGGACCTGACAATCCAGTGATTGATATCATGAGCATCGATTCACGCAATTGGGATCGATGACATGCTTCAAAACTTCGATCCCGTAAGTCGCCTCTTACGACAAGCATAGTCGCCTTTTACGGCAAGCATGGGTTGCTGAAGACCTATTCTACCCCGGATCTTCATGGGCCGTCAATCCGTATATGTAAACTCCGGTAGAAACTATACAGTGACTGACATCATGATCATCGACCTACGCAACTGATATACGAAGACCTACTCTACCCCGGGTCTTCACATCTCACATACATACTCACATCTATCATATCATATTTGAATGGAAAAAACCAATGCCATCACCGTTATAAGTTGATACGGTCTCAGTAACCACTTTTACTTTGCAACCACTACATAAAAAACAATTTCTACCTCAAATATGACTTTATTGCACAATGTTTCCTGTCTTGTCATAACATCCATCATATAGTGACGTCACAAACCTTTCATCACTGAAATGGCCAGTATTTTATTCAAACAAACCCTAGGTTTACTTTGATCTAGCCACATCGTGGACAAAGGGTGTTGTTTCCCATCAACTGTCTTCATGTTTTATTTATTCTTGTATCATGCCTGTACTAATGGAATATTAACAGTACTTTACTCTTTAGAATTGGTCCCCATCACCTATTCTGGCCGTAAGAGTCGACTAAATGGATAAGGTGGTCAGGCTCTGTGACTTGGCTGATATCTTGTCCTCATGCCACTAGTGTGTAGATTGTGGCTCACAATATCGACCACTGGATTGTCTGGTTCAGATTCGATCATTTAAAGTAATAACCCCGTGCTGGGAACCAATTCTAACCGGAATTGCCTCATGAAAGATGAGTGAGTGAGTGAGTGCGTTTTGGTTTAATGTCGCTTTGAACAGTATCCCAGTAATATCACGGCGTGTCAGCTTAATGTTGAAGCAAATCCCGAAGAGATGCAGGTCTGAGACGTATAATCCTCTGCAGGGCAAAACTAGAAACATAATCGGGGCGAACCCACGATCATAGGTTTCTGCACAGCTAATTGCGGCGCCTTAGACGACTGGGCTACCTGTTCACCCAACCCGTGAAGATCCGGCGCAGAATAGGTCTTCAGCAACCCACGCTTGCCGTAAAAGACAACCATGCTTGTCGTTAGAGGCGACTAACGTGATCGGGTGGTCAGGCTCGCTGACTTGGTTGATGCACGTCATCGATCCCAATTGCATGGATCGATGCTCATGATGTCAATCACTGGACTGTCTTTTCCAGACTCGATTATTTACAGACCGCCGTCATATAGCTGGAATATTGCTGAGTGCAGACTAAACAAACCTGTTCTCCCCTCGAGAGAGGTGGATTAAAAATATCCTTGAATGAATCTTCTTGTCCCGACACTGTTCCTTCTAAACGTTTCTACCACAATGCCTCTATTTTTCAGACAATCCCCCCAAAAGGTTGACGATATCACAGGTCCCTGTCAGGAGCCTCTATTACAGAGATGAGCTTGTGCGTTTCTCATGCAGTGGTAGAATTGGTAACGAGTTTGACAAAAATGTCAGGAACCTTTGGACATGGGAATGGCGATCTGTGGGCAGTGTGGTTACCCCCTGGACACGGTACCCAAACAGCACCAGCATCATCTACAACCCTGTCAGGCAAGTACCTGCCTCGGGTGGATGCGAGTACTCTGTTGGTTCAACACTCACCCACAGAGTGTCATCCTTGGACATCAAGAGGCAGTTCAGATGTTCTGTGCAGGGAGAGTTCAGTACTTCTGCATCACTGTCTACTGAAGGTAAGCATCTGTGCAGGGAGAGTTCAGTACTTCTGCATCACTGTCTACTGAAGGTAGGCATCTGTGCAGGGAGAGTTCAGTACTTCTGCATCACTGTCTACTGAAGGTAAGGATCTGTGCAGGGAGAGTTCAGTACTTCTGCATCACTGTCTACTGAAGGTAAGGATCTGTGCAGGGAGAGTTTAGCCCCTCTTAATCACTGTCTACTGAAGGTAAGGATCTGTGTAGGGAGAGTTCAGTACTTCTGCATCAATGTTTACTGAAGGTAAGGATCTGGGCAGGGAGAGTTTAGTCCTTCTGCATCACTGTCTACTGAAGGTAAGGATCTGTGCAGGGAGAGTTCAGTACTTCTGCATCACTGTCCACTGAAGGTAAGGATCTGTGCAGGGAGAGTTCAATCCTTCTGCATCACTGTCTACTGAAGGTAAGGATCTGTGCAGGGAGAGTTCAGTACTTCTGCATCACTGTCTGCTGAAGGTAAGGATCTGTGCAGGGAGAGTTCGGCACTTCTGCATCACTGTCTACTGAAGGTAAGGATCTGTGCAGGGAGAGTTCAGTACTTCTACATCACTGTCTACTGAAGGTAAGCATCTGTGCAGGGAGAGTTCAGTACTTCTGCATCACTGTCTACTGAAGGTAAGGATCTGTGCAGGGAGAGTTCAGTACTTCTGCATCAATGTCTACTGAAGGTAAGGATCTGTGCAGGGAGAGTTCAGTACTTCTGCATCACTGTCTACTGAAGGTAGGCATCTGTGCAGGGAGAGTTCAGTACTTCTGCATCACTGTCTACTGAACGTAAGGATCTGTGCAGGGAGAGTTCAGTACTTCTGCATCACTGTCCACTGAAGGTAAGGATCTGTGCAGGGAGAGTTCAATCCTTCTGCATCACTGTCTACTGAAGGTAAGGATCTGTGCAGGGAGAGTTCAGTACTTCTGCATCACTGTCCACTGAAGGTAAGGATCTGTGCAGGGAGAGTTCAATCCTTCTGCATCACTGTCTACTGAAGGTAAGGATCTGTGCAGGGAGAGTTCAGTACTTCTGCATCACTGTCCACTGAACTGGGGGCACTTTGTTTTATTGGTGGTATTTTTGCGCGGTAGGATTCCTCACCTAGGATGACACGTGACTAGTAAGGGAGTGAGTGAGTGAATTACATTTTAAGTCACATCAGTAATATTTCAACCATGTTGTGACTAGACAAAGTAACGAATCTATGTCCTAACACCCTGTTATCCACGGGAAGTACAATAACTAATAACGTCACATATTTTTTATTTATAAAGGCATATTAAGAACAGACTTTTAAACAAAGACGCCCCATAAAACGTGGGCTTTAAATCACCAACAACCAAAAATAGGCTAGCTCACTCGGACCATGTAGACTTACGACAGTTGACTTACTTGAAATACAGTAAACTACGGTTATAACGAACAAGCTTATAACGAACTGACCGTTATAACGAACATATTTTTTAGTCCCGGCCATTTGTTGTATATATGCCGTATATATGCTTATAACGAACTGACCGTTAAAACGAGCATATCTTTTAGTCCCGGCCATTTGTTGTATATATGCTGTTTATATGCTTATAACGAACTACGGTTATAACGAACTAAAATTAGTGGTCCCTTTGAGTTCGTTGTAACCGTAGTTTACTGTATTTGTACCGAGAACAAAGATGCATGATGCTGTTTAAACGTATTGTACAAATGTAATGATCAGTAGTTAACCCAACAACAGATCCTCAACAAGTATTACTCCAACTGAAAGAAATAATGTACTACAGCTATTTTCTAATGGGAACGTAACTGATAAGCTGATCTTTGCAAGTAAAAAAAAAACCCACGTGTGTCAGACATTGTCTCGAGAATTCAGTCCTAGATAATGTTAGTTTAAGAACCACGAGAAGGCCCACTCGACTAAGGCGCCTTAATTCGCTGTGCAGATTTGCGTCCCTTGGGCGTGCCAGGATCCTATGATAGAGGGTCGAATTCCAGATTTTCGCTGATTATGTTCTTTGGTTTGTCAGCATTATGAACATGTCCGAAGCCGTCGTACTTGGGGTACTTTTACCCGCAAGTCATCGATTGTCATGCTAGACGTATTTTACTAAGGACCTGTTCTAAGACGGAATCACTACAATTGTCATACCGCCATAGATCTATTTATAAAGATCCAAGGTGACAAAACGCTATCCACAAGACTGTATGAGTCCAGGGTTACAGCAAGGCCTTTATAAATCTTGAGACAATTTCATGGAATACATGTGAAGGTCATTTTCAGATTTTGAAATCGGGGCAAAAATCATGTCTGATGGAATCCCCTATTTTTCTTGTCCCGTTTGTTCCGGTTGTTTTCTGGTAAACAATTGACTTGCCTTTGCATGTGTTACGGGTGCCACAGGAGGGGCGGAAGGCAAACATAGCCTGAGGCAAACATCTTGCTATGCAGAGTTGCGTCCCTTTACCCGGGCCACGATTCAAAGGTGTAGGGTGCGTATCGCCCCAATAATAACTGTCAGATACATGGTCTGCTAGTGAAACTAACCAACCTGAACGATTTGGAACACTTTCGTCTTTTCTCAAATATCTCGGTAACGCCTATATGCAAGCTGTATGACAGCGGCCTATTAACTCTGCAATATTCCAGCTGTATGACGGCGGCCTGTAAACTCAGCAATATTCCAGCTGCATGACGGCGGCCTGTAAACTCTGCAATAGTCCAGCTGTATGACGGCATCCTGTAAACCCTGCAAAAGTCCAGCTGTATGACGGCTGCCTGTAAACACTGCAATAGTCCAGCTGCATGACGGCGGCCTGTAAACTCTGCAATAGTCCAGCTGTATGACGGCATCCTGTAAACCCTGCAATAGTCCAGCTGTATGACGGCGGCCTGTAACCAACACTGCAATAGTCCAGCTGTATGACGGCGGCCTGTAAACTCTGCAATATTCTATCTGTATGACGGCGGCTTGTAAACTCTGCAATATTCCAGCTGTATGACGGCGGCCTGTAAACTCTGCAATATTCCAGCTGTACGACGGCGGCCTGTAAACTCTGCAATATTCCAGCTGCATGACGGCGGCCTGTAAACTCTGCAATATTCCAGCTGTACGACGGCGGCCTGTAAACTCTGCAATATTCCAGCTGCATGACGGCGGCTTGTAAACTCTGCAATATTCCAGCTGTATGACGGCATCCTGTAAACCCTGCAACAGTCCAGCTGTATGACGGCGGCCTGTAAACTCTGCAATATTGTAGCTGTATGACGGCATCCTGTAAACCCTGCAACAGTCCAGCTGTATGACGGCGGCCTGTAAACACTGCAATATTCCAGCTGTATGACGGCGGCCTGTAAACTCTGCAATATTCCAGCTGTACGACGACGGCCTGTAAACTCTGCAATATTCCAGCTGCATGACGGCGGCTTGTAAACTCTGCAATATTCCAGCTGTATGACGGCGGCCTGTAAACTCTGCAATATTCCAGCTGTATGACGGCGGCCTGTAAACTCTGCAATATTGTAGCTGTATGACGGCATCCTGTAAACTCTGCAATATTCCAGCTGTATGACGGCATCCTGTAAACTCTGCAATATTGTAGCTGTATGACGGCATCCTGTAAACTCTGCAATATTCCAGCTGTATGACGGCATCCTGTAAACTCTGCCATATTGTAGCTGTATGACGGCATCCTGTAGACTCTGCAATATTCCAGCTACACGATAGCATCCTGTAAACCCTGCAATATTCCAGCTGTATGGCGGCGGCCTGTAAACTCTGCAATATTCCAGCTGTATGACGGCATCCTGTAAACTCTGCAATATTCCAGCTGTATGACGGCAGCCTGTAAACTCTGCAATAGTCCAGCTGTATGACTGCGGCCTGTAAACTCTGCAATATTCCAGCTACATGACGGCATCCTGTAAACTCTGCAATATTGTAGCTGTATGACGGCATCCTGTAAACTCTGCAATATTCCAGCTGTATGACGGCATCCTGTAAACTCTGCCATATTGTAGCTGTATGACGGCATCCTGTAAACTCTGCAATATTCAATCTACATGACGGCGGCCTGTAAACTCTGCAATATTGTAGCTGTATGACGGCATCCTGTAAACTCTGCAATATTCCAGCTACATGACGGCATCCTGTAAACTCTGCAATATTCCAGCTACATGACGGCATCCTGTAAACTCTGCAATATTCCAGCTGTATGACGGCAGCCTGTAAACTCTGCAATATTCCAGCTGTACGACGGCATCCTGTAAACTCAGCAATATTCCAGCTGTACGACGGCATCCTGTAAACTCTGCAATATTCCAGCTGTATGACGGCGGCCTGTAAACAAGCGTCATCAGAAGATGACAAATTCCCCCGGCCCTCACAAATTCGAAAGAACAAATCCTCCGACTGTAACTTGAACTCCAACTTGATGAGAGTAGTTACTGAGCTGTCTAAACAATACCATGGCATTGGGATTCGGAACGTTGTATTTCAATGCCAGGTACACGCCTTTATAAACAGAGTTAAAAAATAAATAATTCCAAAATTCCATAAATAGCAAAAGGCACCAGTTGACAACCTAGTTTTGTGTGTGTGCACAGTTGCACGAAAGAGTGGCTATTAGTTTGAGAGATACAGTCCGGACAAACACAATACGATGAACAGAGTCAAATCAAAATTGTTGCCATGGAAACAGGGAAAAAGTAATGTTCTAAAAACTCCTAAATAATCTTCACGGGTGAATTGCTAGGCTACCTTACCGGGCTGGCCAAAGTACATACTTAAAACATGAAGAGATATAATAACAATATATATTGTATTTATGGAAATGAAACGGTATTCCCGAATATGAGTTATTGCTGTTGTTATGGCGATGTCATTATTTGTTTCAGATTCGGAGTCCTCGGTGGCTGTTAAAGTGGCGATGTACAGGGACATCAACATTGTTGTTCTGTTTTTGGCGATTCTTCTGTCCTATTATTAACTGTGCCCGACGGAAGTCGATGTTAGGATTGGTCCCAAGGAACCTTATAGTATGCGGGTCTTAAGACGTTCCCAGAAACCTATGCGGGTCTTAAGACGTTCCCAGAAACCTATGCGGGTCTTAAGACGTTCCCAGAAACCTATGCGGGTCTTAAGACGTTCCCAGAAACCTATGCCGCAAACACATCCCATGCTGGTCGTAAGCGGTCCCCAGAAACCTCTGATGGTCTTAAAAAGTCCCCAGGAAACAACCCGTGCTTGTCGTTAGAGGTCATCAGAAACATGTGCTGGTCGTAAGACATTCCCAGAGTGAGTGAGTGAGTGAGTGAGTATGGTTTCACGTCGCTTCTAGCACCATTCCAGCAATATCACGTCGGGGGACACCAGAAATGGGCTTCACACATTGTACCCATATCGGGAATCGAACCCTGGTCTTCAGCGTGACGAGGTGAGGTGAGGTGAAATGGGGTTTTAACGTCGCGTCCAAGATTATTGCACTTATATAGCGACGTGCATGCACGTGTGTGTGTGGCTGCTTGTACTAGACCGGACTGATGCCGATTTATAGTGCTAGCTCACTGAGATACCATGCCGCAGTTTAACTTGAACACCCAACTCAGACACAGTATACTGACTCCGAGCCGACCAGTCCTTGTTTTAGCCCCTTAAAGCCGAGCGTCAGACAGGGTAACAACAAGTACCATCTTTTAACGTCTTTTGGTATGACGCGGCCGGGGATCGAACTCCGGACCTTCCGCTTTCCGGGCGGACGCTCTATCGCTAGACCACGGAGGCGGTCTTCAGCGTTACGAGCGAACGCTTTGACTACTAGGTTACCCGACCGCCGCGAAATAATATGGCCGCGTAATGGTCATAAGAAGTTTCAGCTTCAAGACCCCAGAAACCTTTGCCGGAGAGCGACGTAGTGGCTCATGTTATCACGCTTGGCTCAGTGACTATATTCGACTATTCGATTTTTTACAATACTCGTTCAAAACTGTTTATGCACAATGGACGTTCAGTTCATTAATACCTGGAATATTGCGAAGCCAGGTAGATGAAAGCGATCTGGAAATACTCGCATCTGGACTAGACAGTCCAGTGATCAATATTATGAGCAACGATGCACAATCAAGCAAGTCGCCCCGTCTGACCGCCCGATCCACTCGGTGCCCTTACTGCCAGCATAGGTTTCTTGGGACCAATAGTTACCCGGAATCTCTATGAGGTTAATTATGGAAAGGTGACATTTTAAAGACTCAAAATAATTGTTTTTCTCGAATATTTCTTAACTGGTTTAGATTTCGAGATTGTTCGCTGTTGCTTTGGATAGTTTGGATAGTGGCTATTGTGTATGTATCTCTATATGCAACTCAAAAGAAGTTAAAGCACATCCATTAGTTTCATATTACCATGAAAGAATCGGATGTTCTTTAACTTCTATTCAGCAGTATAAATCCACAATTTGGGCAAATCTGTTTCGACGACTTAGGAAAGGTTTTTACTTTCGGGAATTACAGCTTTTCTATCCAGTAGACACTGACGTGGCTAAATATATTTTGGTTTAAACTACAACTTTTACGAAATGTGACCAGTGAGTGAGTGAGCTAGGGTTAACGCCGCTTTGAACAGTATTTCGGTTATATCGTGGCGTGTCAGCGTGATATGGGAGGAAAACTCAAAATGATGCATTTTCAGCCGTTTACCACTTTGGTGAACTCCATGAGCACGGGTATGGTGCAGACAAACCTAGAAACATAATTCATAGATGTACGTACTAGTGAACTGTAAAATGGGATTTAACATCGCGTTAAACCGTATTGCATAGTATCATATAGCGACGTGCATGTTCGCGCGTGTGTGGCTGCTTATCTTTGCCCACTGAGATGCCAAGCCGCAGTTCAACATGGATTGAGTGAGTGAGTGAGTATGATGTTTCGCCGCTTTCAGCAATATTCCAGCAATATCACGGCGGGAGACACCAGAAATGGGCTTCACAGATTGTACCCATGTCGGGAATCGAACCTGGGTTTTCGGCGTGACGAGCGAACGCTTTAACCACTAGGCTACCCGACCGCCCTGTTAAATATTGACACTTCACTAAAACACAGTATAACCCCAGCCGACCTGTCAATGTTTTTTCCCCTAATGCCGAGCGCCAACCAGGACTGGTATCACAAGTTCCATCTGGTATGACGCGTCCGGGTATCGAACCACCGACCTTCCGCTCTCCGGGTAAACAAACTATCCACAAGACCACGGAGGCAGTCGTAAAAAACAAGAGAATGAAATGAAAGCGTTGGTATTGGAATAGCATCATTAATAAACGTTGTACAGGCAGATATAGTCTAAACCATACATCTCATGTTTCTGTTATTTTGACGAGACGTGATTTTATTAAAAGATATCTGCTCCTAAACTAACAAGTACTACCGCTATTTCAGCCCCAAATGATTCTAAATTATTTAGGAAAACGAAATTCTCGTTTCTAGATTAGAAAATTACAAATTTAATGTAAGAATTTGAATTATTCATCCAAATATCAAATAAATTCTATTTTATTTGCGTGATGTTGCGTTTGTCGTAAATGATATATGTTGATGTGATATTGTTTCTAAAGAATGTGATGTAGTGCAAACGTTCCACTGAGTTTGTTAATAGCTGTTTGGTCACTTAAAGTTTTGTGATAAGGGAATTAATGGAAGTGTGATCACTTAAAGTGTTGAGACAAGAAAAGCTATAGCTAGTCCCATTCATTAACGCAGTCTTTGGAGTCCTGGAACGTAATAGGTGATATATATGGGAGGAAAGATAGCAGTCGTTAAAATGACATGGCTGACTGTGTCAACGTGATGTGGCAGTGGTTCAAAGGACATGGCTGACTGTATAAATAGCGACTATGCTTGTCGTAAGAGGCGACTAACGGGATCGGGTGGTCAGGCTCGGTGACTTAGATGATGCATGTCATCGATCCCAATTGCGTGGATCGATGCTCATGATATCAATCACTGGATTGTCAGGTCAAGACATGATTATTTACAGACCGCCATCATATAGCTGGAATATTGCAGCGATGAAGAAGTATTCCTCTCATGTCGAAAAGATCATGGAAGGAACTGATAAAAACATGCCACAATATGACACACAGGTTGCATTCACCAATCTGCCAGCAGATGGTGCTTCTAATCATTGAACTTTCTTTACAGGTAGCCAAGCGGTGGTCTTGATGTGCAAGACTGTGACATCTTTCTTGCAAGTGTCCCATCAGTTCTGTCAACACACAAGATCATTTCACTATCTGCTACCACGTATTTATTGCCCACCGCCATTACTCTTATTTCATTTGTTGTAAGTTAGTGTTTCTCATTAACCATTCCGTGTTTTTGCTTCCTCATTAAACGTCTGGGCTTCCGCCAAGTGTAACGGAGCAATTCATGTCGTAAGTCTGAAAGTGCCTGGCCTCCTGTTCAGGAGATTTAGTCCGTCGGTCGTACAGTAAGGATTTTTTATACATCTCCTGATCCCCCTGGTTCTGAGGAAGAATGAACACTTGTGTCAAATCAGAAGAAGTAACTTCTCCAGTACCCAGAGGGAATGAGGCACATCCTTCCACAGTGATACCTCAACCGACTATCAACACCCCACCCTATTCAAACCAGGTACTTCTTGACCCTGACAATATCCTTCCATCCACAAGTTGACGAGAGTTTGAATATCTGCATCTCAAATATGACACCATTTTTGATCCTTTACTCTCAAAATATAATGGTGCTAGTGGCGAAATTGAAGCTGTGGTCAATATGGGCCCCACTCTCCCCCCACAAAGGAAAGGTCGCCTCCCAGGATACAATAGGGAAATGCTCCTAGAACTTCAAAAGCAATTTGATGAGCTTGAATCTTGTGGAGTTTTTTCAAAGCCTGAGAAGGTTAGTGTCAGCGTCGAATACCTGAATCTCTACTTTGTCCAAAAGCCAAATGGTGGGAAGCGTCTTGTAACATCATTTGGTGAAGTGGCCCGTTATAGCAAACCTCAACCTTCACTGATGCCGAACATTGAGGACGTCTTACGAGACATTGGGAAGTGGACTTACATTATCAAGTCTGACTTGTTAAAGGCTTTTTACCAAATTCCTCTGTCACACCAGTCAGTGAAGTACTGTGGAGTTGTTACTCCCTTCAAGAGCATGCGTGTGTATACTTGGTGTGCCATGGGCATGCCCGGATCCGAGACTTGCCTTGAGGAGTTGACGTGCCGTGTGTTGGGTCATCTGATTGAAGAAGGCCGTGTCATCAAGCTAGCCGATGACCTGTTTTGCGGAGGGGCTACTTCTGATGAAGCTTTTTACAACTGGGAACAAGTGCTACACGCCCTAAAAGAGAATAACCTCCAACTAACATCTTCCAAGATAGTTATCTGCCCAAAGTCTACAACGATCCTCGGTTGGATTTGGTCCCAAGGAACCCTTTCTGCAAGTCAACATCGGGTAACAGCACTATCATCAGTCACTCCTCCATCAACTGTTCAGGGTTTGCATTCTTTCATTGGTGCCTTCAAAGTGCAGGCTGTGGCTGGAAAACAGTCCCAAGACAAGATAAAATGGTCTGATAGCCTCACTCAAGCATTCGTTAAGGCCCAGTCAACTCTTAAGGACTGCAGAACGATTACCTTTCCTCGTCCAACAGACAGTCTTTGGATAGTAACGGATGCATCTCTCAAATTGGATGGATTAGCTGCGACATTGTATGCCAAACGACAAGACAAACTGCTCCTTTCAGGCTTCTTCAACGCAAAACTGAAAAAGAATCAGAAAAATTGGCTGCCATGTGAAATTGAGGCTTTGGCTATTGGAGCAGCTGTGAAACACTTCTCTCCTGTCATCTTCTAGTCGAATCACCCGATACAAGTCCTGACTGACAGCTGTCCCTGTGTGCAGGCCTACGAGAAACTTACAAGAGGAGAGTTCTCTGCCAGCTCCCTCGTGACTACATTTCTATCGACAGTCAGTCGGTACAATGTGCAGGTCAGACATATCAGGAGCAGCAAACCTTCCATCTGACTACACTAGCCGCAAACGATACCTCCGTGTGGTTTCAATCGCACATGATCGTGTGCTTATTGTCAAAGAAACACTGCCATTCCAGTCTCCTATTGAACGTATTGTTGTTCCTAGGTCTGTTGTCGATGGACTCATCACTGCTTTACATCTCAGGTTTGACCATCCTTCGAGACATCAACTAAGGATGTTATTCAATTGCTACTTCTTTGCTTTGGATGTTGACCAGGGCCATTGACCATGTCACCTCATCTTGCCATCTCTGTATGTCCCTTCTCTTAGTGCCAAAATATCTACAACCCCAGACTTCAGATCCTCCTCCTGAAAAGATTGGATCCTCATTCGCAGCTGACGTGATGTGCCGGTACAAACAACTTGTATTTGTCCTCAGAGAGACTGTGTCGTCTTACTCATGGGCTATGACAATACCAAACGAGAAACATGACAGTCTACGGGACGCTATTGTAACCCTATCTGCAGGCGTCCGTTACATGGGGGATGGTGGTTCCCTTATTCGTGTTGACCCAGCTCCACGATTTGTCAGCCTCGTCAAGGATCCTCTGATCGCGAAATATGGAATTTCACTTATCATTGGTAATGAAAAGAACATCAACAAGAACCCCGGTGCAGAACGAGTTATACAGGAACTCGGAACAGAAATTTTGCATCTGGCACCCGAGGATGGACCACTTTCCAACACAATGCTGGCATTAGCAGTAGCTAACATGAATGCCAGACTACGTAAAGCTGGATTGTCATCAAGAGAGGTCTGGACACAAAGAGACCAGGTCACTTGCAGTCAATTACCCTTAGCAGATGCAGATCTCATCACCCAACAGAAAGACCTGCGAGAAATCAACCACCCCTACAGTTCAAGATCAAAAGCCAACGGTTTAGACTGGGACATCAGTAGCTAGTTTACGCATTGGAGATCTCGTTTTCCTTGTCCATGACAAAGACGAAAACCAAAACAAGAGACAAATACATGATCATTCAGATCCCTGGTGAGTCTTGCCTAGTCAGGAAATTTACCAAATTGCAGTTCAGGTCAAAGACATATGCTGTTCCGATCAAGATCTGTTACCCTGTTCTCCCGACTGTAACGGTTCCTGACTCTCCTGGTCCTATACATAGACTAGATTACACCACTGAGGATGACTCATCCCACCTGTATCACCCAACGCTTCCTGTCTGTGAACCCTCACCTACGATCGACCCTCCTCAGTGTCTAACTCCCCTCCCAGAACAAATAGTTCAACCACCTCAGCGGCCTCCAGAACACTGCCCTACAGATCAAGCCTCAACCACCAGTTCAGGCCAATGTATACCCATCGCCCTAGCGTACACTGACCAGACTGTGTCAAGTGACTATGGCCCCAATTTGTAAAGTGAGAGTGAACTTGTTTCACCTAGTGACATTGAAACTGTCAAACCCAGTGAAATGGACTGTGTGGTATCAAATAATGGTACACGAAGATCAGGGAGAATTCGCCACCCTCCTGCTTGGCAGACTAGCGGGGACTGGGACATTAATTGACTCTTATTTCGTTTGTTGTAAGTTAATGTTTCACAGTAACCATTCCGTGTTTTTGTTTCCTCATTAAACGTCTGGGCTTCCGCCAAGTGTAACGGAGCAGCAGTGTTTGTCTTTATTGGCGCACACATTACTATTCCAAGAACTGTTAGTGTGCGTAGAATTATACTGTACTATGGAAAAAGTAGCAGTGTTGCAATAGAACTCAAAAGAATAATTAGCCATAGAAAGTGGAACAACGCATGGTTACTTCTAGAAGAGAATGCGTTCGAATGATATGCAATAATAGACATATTATGGAAAAAGTAGACTTATGCCATCATATATTGTTTAGCGAGACTGAAGATTTTGAAACACCAGGATTTGTTGAATTGACTTCTCTGGCATCGTTGTTACATGGTTGGTTCATTGTTCATTTTGTCCATCATTCTGTATCTCTCTCTTTTCCGTTTAGATAATTATCAACAATAATTTCATTGCCTCTTCTTTAACAGTTCATATGTGAGTTTAATGTCTGGACATGGGTCCTTTCAGTCTTTTCAGGGCGGGCTGTAGACAATTAAATTAAATGGGGACATAACAAATGTATTTGATATTTGAAGGATCGTGTTTCATGTTAAAACATGTAATCTTATATATTTTCGAAGGTGGTACCAGTGTGAAGTATAGAAATGTCAGGGATCGACTTCCATGTAGATTACTTGTACATTCAACGCACATATATTTCCTTCTGTTCAATTTGCCGCAGTTTATTGCAGTTTGTGCAATTTTGCCGCACCTGATAGGAATGATAGAAATTGAAACAAAATCTCTTTGTTGTGGTTTTTTAATAAACAAGCTGGATGTTGGAATTGATCTTGTTAAGGTCGAACAAACACTGGAACTCGCATTCAGTTTAAAATCGGAATGATTAACAGATGTTATTACAATTTGCTACAATAGGAATGACAGAAATTGAAACAAAATCGCTTTTTTTTATTTCCTTAAACATGCTGGAAAGAAAATCGCTTTTTTTTATTTCTGTAAACATGCTGGAGGTTGGAATTGACCTTGTTAAGGTCGATCAAACATTGGAACCTAAAATCAGTTTGAAATCGGAAGGATTAAGAGATGTTATTACCATTTACCGCACTTTGTATTACAATTTGCCCCAGTTTGTTACAATTTACTGCACCTGTCTTGCAATAGACATGAGAGAAATTGAAACAAAATCGCGTTTTTTTTATTTCCTTAAACATGCAGTAGGTTGGAATTGATCTTGTTAAGGTCGAACAAACATTGGAACTTGAATTCAGATTGAAATCGGAAGGGTTAACAGATGTTATTCCAATTTACCGCACTTGGTATCACAATTTGCCGCAGTTTGTTTCAATTTGCCGCACCTGTGTTTCAATTGGAATGACAGAAATTGAAACAAAATCGCTTTTTTATATTTCCTTAAACATGCTGGAGGTTGGAATTGATCTTGTTGAGGTTGAACAAAGACTGGAACTTGAATTCAGATTGAAATCGGAAGGATTAAGAGATGTTATTACAATTTGCCGCACCTGTCTTTCAATAGAAATTGAAGCAAAGTCGCTTTTTTTATTTCCTTAAACATGCTGGAGGTTGGAATTTATCTGGAACAATTTGCCGCATCAACTTCTAAACAGGAATGACAGAAATTGAAATATAAATATTATTAAATTAATTGTATGTAATTTAATGAACATTAGTATTGATCAGTGAGTCGTTTCAAAGACCGGATTTTGATTTCCAAATAGCTTAGTCGCACATTTTAAACTTCAGGCATGTTTCTTTATATATTTGCAAATGAATAATCTTTTATTACAATTTACCGCAGTGAAGTTATTACAATTTACCACAGTGGTTATTACAGTTTGGGCAAGTTTTATTTACAATTTACCGCAGTTTCAGCTATTACAATTTGCCGCAGTTTTTATTACAATTTACCGCAGTATGTATTACAATTTACCGCAGTATTATTATATTTTACCGCAATTTATTACAATTTACCGCGTTATTACAATTTACGTCGTAACAAACACTCAAGTCCAATAAAACAAATATATACATTGCTCAAATGAAAATGAATATTAATAGTCTGTTTGTATAATAATCCCATCATTGTTTCCCCTCTTTATCACGGAATTGGGAACTAGACGCCATGAGAATTGTAGAAGGGAAATTTTTATTGGTACAGATATACCAAATATTTATGTATTGTTTTTAGCTGCTGATAAAGCAGGATGTGCGGATACAAAAATTAGACTACAGGGACAGAGAAGTACAGCTAAAATGTTTTGTTAAGACACATGTATGATTAATGTGGATAAACCCAAAAGCATTGTTTTTAGAAATAGAGAAAAATTACGAAATAAATGGTTTACAAATAAATAGGTACAGTTAGAAACAGTTTCCTTTTATAGTTATTTAGGTGTGTTGTCAGAACAAAACGCTCTTGGCTTAAGCAAAAATGTGTTAATGTGATCAAGCATTAAAAGCAGTCCCTTTGGGCATTTAAGAAGACGTTTGGGAACATTAATCATAATATTTTTGTTATGATAAGCCCAGGTTTATGTTATGGGTCAGAAATTTGGGGCACACAATATGCAGAACAGTCCAAGTACAGCTCTGTCGCAAAATATTTGAGAGTAAATGAGTTAGTAATAATATGGTATCGGGAGAGTGTGGAAGAAAACCATTATTTGTAGTCTGTATAGTAAAACGCAACAGGTTTGGTGTGACTTGTTAACAATGCCTCCGGAGAGATGCCCCAAATATTTGATGTTAAAATCTATGGCAATCTCATTAAAATCAGATCTTACTTCTCGCTATCGCTAAACAAAGATCTGAGGACATCCCATTACGGGTCACTCAGAACGACCTTTCATCCGACCAATCAAAGCGTCGCTGACCAGATCATGAAAGTGACAGCCGGAATGTGTTTTCCAATCATGCAACCATGAAAACGTTAACACGTGGTATTCCGAACGACAGTTACGGCCCGTACGACTGATTCCGTCAAAATTTTCTATCTCTCACTTCTGTGGGATAAACGTTCGGACGGAGGAGGCGTTGCACAGTATTTTGGAAGCACTGCCATACAATCTCAACCATGTATTAGACATTCCGGAATGTTCGTTTGTTCAGTTTTCAAAATTTTAATCGAGAACTGTGTCAACATATTTTTCAAGCGTAGTCAGAAATGAAAGTCGCCAGGTTGAAACGAGTGCCGTAAAGCTTGAGAAAGCAGCTTTCTAATTGGCTGATGTCGACTTCTTATTAGTGATGTCAG